CTTAGTAAATTCTGATCAACTTAAGGCATACAATTCTCAAACGTTATCTTGTCTTTTTCTTTAATCTCTAAATAATCTCCATTCTCAATTCTCACTTTTTACTCCAACGACAACTTGTCAAAATATTTGAATAGTTTCTCATCATGAGTCATATGTTTTGTACAATCACTGTAAACTAGCCAGCCAACTGTCCGTTGAAGATAGAGCTGACGTAAACTAATATGACACAACAACCTAATAATACAAACTCAACATAAAATAATTTGATTTGGGTAAAAAAATTCGACATAATTATGTACACAAATTAACACACGATAATAAACAAATTAGGTTATAGTTGAAGCCCTCAGCTCGAATCTAATTCGACAACCCGATTATAATATATTAATATTACTCAATTAATTTATTTAATATGCATGTAAAATGATTTATGACCTCATCATTAGGAAGGGGAGTAAGTTCATAGTCTTATTCAATCGCCTCCGAATAATCACAGCCTTCAGGTAAGCTTGCATTTTAACTGCCTATGCTTGGAACTTTATCAATTTGAGTTTTTTTAGTAAATTAAAAAATAATACTCCCTCCGTCTCAAATACCGTGTAATATTTGTGTTTGGCACGGGAATTTAAGTGGAGAGTATTAAATATAATAATTTGAGATAATTTGGATATTAAGTGATGTGATTGGAGAGAGAAATGATTGTGATGAGATAAAGTGAAGTATATATTAATACATGTATATAAATATTATTAATTATTTCTAAATAGTAGTATTTTATTGTTAGTATATAATATGTTTGGACATTTTGTTCTTTGACGTGTAAATTAATTGTATGTGTACATTATATTTGTAATTTAAGTAAAAATTAAAAATATTTTAGAATCTGTGTATAATTAGTTTTTATAGAGAATAAATACTTTTTGTTGGACTGACTTTGAGTTGGGAGGAAATAATAATTCAAATTATGAAATCTAATTTAAATTAAATATTTCACCTCACAAAGCAAGAAAGATAATTAAGGCTCCGTTTCTTTAATATTTGAATTTAGGTTTTGATATTTAAAAATAATAAAATTTTAAATTGAAATAATAGTTGATATGATATAAATAAACAATCTTTCAAAGAAAAAATCATTTATTATGTAATATATTAAATAAAAATATGTGTTTTATTTGCTAAATGCTAATTGTGAGATCAGGAAACTTTTTTATGAATAATACTGAAGAGGTTGGATCAATTCTAGTAATTCCTTCAGGGACCAAACTTGAGAGCAATACAACAACTTTCTAAATTCTCTGAGTTCTTGAGTTATTTTTGTGCTCGAAAGTGTCGAGGAATTACTAGGTCTACTAGAAGGTGTTTGAAGATGAACCATCGAATCCGTTACAACCAGTCCTTGAAGAAAGTACGAAACAGACCCCATTACCCTTTTTTTTTTTTTTAGCATCATTTCAATTAGTTAAAAGAAATGTGTTGGTGCACTCCCGTTTGTAAATAAAGAAATAAATTATACATATTTCTCTCAGCTTAATGTTTTAAGTGAGTCGATCATTTACATCATCTAACATAGTATCAGAGCCTTAGGTTGTCGTTGTTTACGGACAAGTTTTGTTTGGTGGCATTTCTCCCTCTTGCCCGTGAGGGGCGTGTTGGTGAACTTTCCTTTGTAGATAAATAAATTAGTTTAATCCTTTTAGGCGAGTCCATAATTTACATCATCTAACAAAATGAATTATATGTGCATGTGTTGGACAGGAAAGACAGAAACAAAAATGGATTTATTGTGGAAGTTTGGAGTGTCAGTCATGTCTAATTTAGGGGAAAGGCTGTTGGATTTTGCATTGAGGAAGAAAGACAAGAACACATTCGAATCTCTACAAAGGAACATGAGGTCATTGTGTGCTAAAGCATCAGATGTCGACGAAGAAATCAAGAAGGCCGAGCTTTCGGGTCGAAAAAAAAGAAAGCGCGAAGTCGAAAACTGGCTAGAACAAGTAAAAACCATTGGGAATGAACTTTGTGAGCTGAGGAATAGAATACAAATCGAAGGATTCATAAGCGAGTTCTTCTCCGGTGGCGAAGCCGAAAAGTTGGAAGCAATAGTGCATGATTTGGTCGAGCAAAGTCGACATTTTGGCGAGCTTGTACTCGACGTTTACGACGTAAAAGGAGAGATGTTGCCGACGAAAGGATTGGTGGGCGAAGAATTCGACAAAAATTTGGAAAAAGCTTTGAGGTTCTTGTTGGTCGACAAGGTGTCGAGCATTGGAATTCATGGGATGGGCGGTGCTGGTAAAACGACGTTGGCGAAGCACATAAATAATCGAATCTTGGAAAATACTCAAGAGCGCGTTGTTTGGATCACGGTATCTCGAGAGAAATTTACTATTCCTATGTTGCAAGACAAAATAGCCAAGTATGTAGGCCTCGATATTTCGGATGAGCGCGATGAAGATAAGAGGGCGTCGAGGTTGAAGCTAGTGTTGTCCGATAGAAAGAATCTTATTTTCATACTCGACGATGTGTGGAAGGATATCGACTTGACAATGTTGGGAGATCCGCTTTCGTGCGAGGGATGTAGATTGTTAATAACTACGCTCTCGATGGAAGTTTGTCGTAAAATGGATTGCAAAGAGCTAATCGAGGTGAGGACATTAGAAAAGAGCGAAGCGTGGAACTTATTCGAAGAACAACTCGGCCAAGGGACGAATCTAAATTCAAAAGTGCAAGAAATCGCCGAGCGTATGGTAGGAGTTTGCGCCGGCTTGCCATTAGGAATTATTACAATCGCCGGAAGCATGAAAGGAGTGAACGACTATCGCGCTTGGAGCGACGCGTGGGAAGAATTACGCGGATGTATCATGGGACAAGAAGACATGGGCGAGCACGTTTTCAAGGTACTAAAGTATAGCTTCGATCGATTGGATCGACACGAAGGAAAGAACAACGGATACTCGAAGTTTCAACGTTGTTTCTTGTATTGCTCTTTATATCCCGAAGATGAAGTCATAAGTCGCAAGGAATTGATCGAAAAGTTCATTCTCGAGGAGTTTCTCGACAAAAGAGAGACGAGAAAAGCTCTGTTTTTCCAAGGACACGCGGTTTTGGATAAACTATTGAATGTTTGCTTGCTCGAAAGAGTCGATAATGAATCGGTGAAGATGCATGATCTTGTAAGAGCTACAGCTCTAAAGATTTCAGAGGGTAAAACTAAGGTAATATCAGGATACCATTCTCTAAGAAGAATGGGGTAAAGATTTGGAGAAGATGTCGATGATGCGTAACGACATAACAAAGATACCGGATGGATTATCTCCGAACTGTCCTAAGTTGTCGACAATACTTTTGGCGGGTAATTTTTCTTTGGAATCTATACCAAACGCGTTCTTTTCGCAAATGTGTAATCTATTCATTCTTGATCTGTCGGGGACTAAGATCAAGGAGTTGTCGAGTTCTTTGTCCGGCGTGGCGAGCCTCAAGGGGTTGATCCTCGCTCGTTGCGACAAACTCGAATGTCTCCCTCACTTTGGGAAGCTCAAAGAACTTCGCGAGTTGATCCTCACGAGCACCGCGATAAAAGAAACGCCTCGAGGGATGAAAAAATTGTTCAAACTCAAGGTGCTCTCGCTGTACGCCGCGCGCCGTTTAAAAGTGTTGTCGAGCTCTTTGCTATCGAAATTCACATTTCTTCAATGTCTTTATCTTCCAAACAACAAATACGCGCCGGTAGAAGATATACTCGAACTTAAGCATTTGGAGGAGCTTCGAGGGCGAGTTAAAGACGGTTGCGATTATAACCGATTGATCAGAAGTAAGCCGTGTTTAGCATACCATGTCACGGTAGGATTCGATAGGCGCTACCAATCGTGGGACTTCAGAAGTTACAATCAGCTCGACTTATCGAAATATGACTTCAATTCGAGGAGGAATGACGAGGATTCGATTATGTTGGCGCAAGATATTCGACATCTAGGATTGGATATGTGTAAGGGATTAGGACAATGCATCGGCGAAGATCTCCCGCGACGACTAAATAATCCGACGTCGAATGAAAGTTTGTGGATATGGAATTGCGAAGAAGTACATAGCCTTTCGAGGATAGATCGATTTCCCGATAGAGATGACGCCGGCGCTACACCATCTTCCATGCCATCGCTGCCTTCGCAAGCCTTTTTCTCGTCTCTTACCATCTTCCGGATTTTTAGGTGTAATAAGATGAAGAAGCTTGGGCTACTAGCGACGGGTGTGGAAAACCTGCGGCATCTTACAATCGAATCATGTGTAATGATCGAAGAGATACTCGGAGAGTCGGGAGATGCAGTTGTTGTATCACTTCCGAAACTTGAGTCTCTTTATCTTGTAAATCTACCGAGATTGAAGATTGTCTGCCGTGCAACGATATTATGCTGTTCGATTCGAGAAATTACGCTGAAAGGTTGCCTGGCATTAGAGAAGTTGCCTTTGATCTTCGGACAAGAAGGCGACGATATTCCTCCGACATGTCTGAAAGAAATTTGGTTGTCGAAGAATGAGGAAGAGTGGTGGGAGAAGCTCGAATTGGGGCGTGCTTCGCAGCGTCGTCTTCTTAGACCGTTTATTAGACATGGAAATAGAAGCAAGAGCTCTGGTTGACGGAAATAGAAGCAAGAGCTCTGGTTGACGACCGGAATCGGAGGATTTTATGTCGGAAAATGGTGTGTTTCTTTACAATTCAAATCTCATATTTCTACTATTATTTGAACTTTGCGTTTCCAAAAAAAAAAAAAAATACATTATTTGCTGTCACAAGGAGGCAAGTAAGTTACTTTCGTTTCTTCTCCTCTATGAATTGATTGACTTTGCGAGATGATTTTTATTTTGATTGCTGTGAAATTTCTTGATTTGCATTTCGAGTTCTCATTTTACAGTTTGATATATAGGGTGACCAATATAAAAACACACCCTAATTTATAAAAAAAAATTGAACAAGTCATAGACAAATATCACCCAAGGAAAGCATGTAAAAATAATTGTACATTCATACCCAAATCAATATCAACACAAATATACATGAAAGCAACAGCAAAGAAAACCTCTAAGATATCTCCAACATCAGAGTGATCATAAATTCATAGCATAGGATGCATTTAGATTCAAAATAACTTTCTCTGTACTGTAAAATTACCAGTTCGAAAGACCACAGGACGGCGCAACTCCGTTAGCCTTTCAAACCTGCTTTGCACATATTCCTCCATTTGTCTTTGAGGTCTATCGCAGTGCGGCTTCTGTCAAAAACACCGGTCCCAAATTCCAAAATTTTCGTCCAAGGCATAATCTTATCGCCGGGGTTGCTCAGTAGCCGTACTCCCTCCTGTTTTAGAGAAAATGGGAAAGACATTTCGACAATAGGACTAGAGAAAAAATTCAGAAATTCTTAAACTAAGTACTTGTCTGGATTTGTCAATTAAATGCATCAAAATCAGGGCAATGATTTCTACCTTCAATGCATTTTCTTCTGCGCTTGTCCATGGAAGCTTTTTCCGCCTTAATGGAGGAATCGTTGGATATGACCTGCAGACCATTATAACGGAAATCTTAGAATTTATGTATGGATGAGGAATATGTAACTCGCGACACAATTATCATGAGAAGCAGATAAAATTGAAAGTAACTTACGGCTGCACCTTCTGTTTTCGAAGTCTTGTAGAGTACTTTGAAGTACCAGAACTACCGCATTTAAAGTCTTCATCAGATGTTTCAAACAACTCAATTGTATCAGACTTTGATGAGAGATCTTTCTGTTCATCTGTTTCTTGAAGAGGCAAAGCTCCCTTCTTGGATCTGATGTCAAGATAGTTCTCAGACACACCACTTCTCTTTGAAACTTGGTGGGATGTTTTTTCTCTCAGCGATTTATTGATTCCAAGTTCATCTTTCTGTTGTTCTTCATGATTTCTCAGTGATTGGGATATATCAGTACTTCTTTTTCCTTCTTGATTATCTTTGTCCAAACCATGAGATATTTTATCAGTTGGAGATATATCGTTTCTCCTGGAACGAAGATTGTGACCCGAATGCATTCCTGAAGGTCCTGCCGATTCACGTTCCAATTCCATTGTCTGCTTTTGCTTACGGACTTTTTTTGTAGTTTGCTCATCTGTTCCTCGAGGAGACACAGCTCCCTTCTTGGATCTGATGTTAACATAGTTCTCAGACACGTCACTTCTCTTCGAAACTTGGTGGGATGTTTTTCCTATCAGAGAGTTGTGGAAACCAAGTTCATCTTTATGTCGTTCTTCATGAATTCTCATTGATTGGGATATCTCAGTAGTTTTTCTCCCTTCTTGTTTTTCTTTGTCCAAACCATGAGCTATTCTATCAGTTGGAGATATACCGTTTCTCCTGGAACGAAGATTGTGGCCCGAATGCATTCCTGAAGGTCCTGCCGATTCATTTTTCAATTTCTTCCTCTGCATTTTATTACGGACTTTTTCTGCAATTTGCTCATCTGTTCCTCGAGGAGACACATCTCCCTTTTTGGATCTGATGTCAACATAGTTCTCAGACACATCACTTCTCTTCGAAACTTGGTGGGATGTTTTTTCTATCAGAGAGTTATGGATTCCAAGTTCATCTTTCTGTGGTTCTTCATGAATTCTCAGTGACTGGGATATCTCAGTACCTTTTTCCCCTTCTTGATTATCTTTGTCCAAACCATGAGCTGTTCTATTGGTTGAAGATATATCACTTCTCCTGGAACGAAGATTGGGACAGGAATGCACTCCTGAAGGTCCTCCCGGTTCATTTTCCAATTCCTTCCTCTGCTGACGATTACGGACTTTTTCTTTAGCATCACTCTTCACTTTGTTACTTCTACACAAACCATCATCGGGTTCCTGCTGATTTTGCTCTGTCCTGTGTAATCTGTCAGAGTGTTCCTCAGATTCTTTTGAAGTCCCTATACGAATAAAAGTTGCCACATGCTTTCTTGCCAAGGAGGCTTGCTTCTTAACTTCCACGTACTTTGCAACAGCTTGAGAATATGCACAAAATGGGCAGTAAAATTTTCCATTTGTGTCATAGACTGCATCAGAACCAAGACAACTCACATGTATCACTATAGGGCAGGAGTGGGAACTACAAACCAGTAAATCGCCACCCTTGTTGCATTTCATACAAAGATCTAGCTCTGTCCAATCAGTTGTTGCCAAAGGATCCTGACTGTATGCAGGCTGAGAGCACAAAAATGTTCGCTTCAGTTCATCAATACTAGTATCCTCATCAAGAAGCTCATCGCTATCTCTTGACAAATTGACACCTTCAGCTTCACTGACATTTGGAGATTTTCTTGAAATATTTTGCTCAAATTTGTCCAATTCAACATCATGATCTTTCATCTGCTTCCCATCAAATTTGTCATTCTGCATGTCAGTATCACATCGAGGATTCAGTTCTTGATGAGGGACTTCATCACAGCCTCCAAGCCCCTCCGATGAAGTACACTCGTTACAATTAGCAGGAAGCTGATGATCCAAAGAAGTATTCTTGGTAGCAAAATCAGCACCATCATAATTGATTCCTCCCTTACCACTAGAAATGTCGTCGCCATTTGTTTTCCCAATGTCATATTCATGTTCCTTCTCAGTATGCAAAACTTCATCCACCCTAGCAAGTCCCTTTGGAGAAGTTTGCTGTCGATCATTATCATCTTCAGGAGGTTCATCAATCCCTACGCTCGCAATATGATTTGTTTTATCTAAGTTGCACTTGTCTCCATCACTGTGTTCCATAGATGCTGCAGATGCATATTGTGCATCTTCACCTGAAGGCATATTTTTATCTGAGTTGCACCTGTCTCCGTCATTTTGTTCCATAAATGCTGCAGATGCACATTGTGTATCTTCACCTGAAGGCATATTTTTATCATTCACATATGGTTTAGTGAAAACAGCATCAGGTTTATGCTTCTTGACAGATCCATTATTGGGTTCGATCTGATTCTCAAACGATGTTCCCTCTGCACTTTCACTTTGGACTTTTCTCTTTGTGTTAACTGGCAGCAACCTTTCATCATTAGTACTAAGTCCCGGTGTAATGCCATTGCAGGTAACACCGTCGATTCTAGCTCCATTTTGAGGTTGGTTTCCAACAGATAAGCCACTTTGTTCTTTCAAGGAAGCAAGCAAAGGATTCTTTCCTGTGAGAATTGCATCTTTCAGCTGTTTCAAAAAAAATAATAATAAAATTCCAGGTGAATAATCAAACAAAAGTGAAGCTAAACCACTTTGTATTCATGCTAAATTTTGTGGCATATAATGATTAAACATTTCCGTGTACCTGCTTCAGAGTATATACGGCCAAGCTCGATCGTTTATGTCGTATAAAGGGCTGAAGATTCCATTTGTTAATCTCTAGATCAGCAAGTTTCAGGCATGATGGTGATGCCTGCTTACACTTCTGCCCACAATAACAACTTTCCTAATGATGCAATATATTGAATATTAGTTTCACTAAATACTGTAAAAAGTTTGAAGTACCTCAGCCAACATTCTTTTTAGAACATCTTCACAATTTTCGGATGGTTCTAACATAATCTTTTCAATAGAGTGAGAAGATGATTCGGGAATTGCAGGGGCTCTTTGAACCAAAAAATTCTCTAAAATTTTCAACGACACCGCTTCTCTAGCATTTCGGCCAATATCATCACCTATTTCTGGTGTCTTCTCCAGCAAATCTATCACCAAATATAAAGAACTCTCAATTCTCTTGACAGATAATGACAAAGTAATTCTTCAATCAGCAATAAACAGTGCTGCCAAGTTTACCTATTAGAAGATATGTGTCTATGTGATCAGCGTGTGCTAGAGTTTCCACAGCCCAAATCCATGGAAGGCTTGAGGTACAGGACAGCTCAAGATCCATAAATGACTGGCTTAAAGCTTCACAGATGACACCCTGACATCCATTAAGTCAAACTTTAAAAAAAAAAACCCACAAATGCAAATCAAATCTTCAACCAAAACAAATGCCTAGATGAAAGTATGAAACTATAAGAGAAGCACAAGACATTAAGCAACCGTACAGTCATGTTCCTTGTAATCTGTCTGTACAAACATTTATGCTGTCGATTTCCACAATTCAACCATGAAATTCCCGCAGCAATTAACAAACAATATGATTGCATCTTCAATTTCAATTATTTTGTATGATTCAAATTGAACAAGAAGCCCACTGTGAACAACATCCATAACCAACTCAATTTAAGTTCTCATTCCTACTTTCTATTTCCGTTCAACTGTATATTTCATTTAAAGAAAGAAAAAGAAGTCCGATATATTCCATCACCCAACCAATTCCAAACATACAAAGCCATGCTAAGACGTATTTGATGCAAAACCACAACAAATTATTTTACCTTGCAAACTTTTGAGAGGTTTTCCCTTCCAATTTCTGATGGCTCATGTACCAACGCTCTGCACCCTTTTAGGTTAATGGTACCAGATCCCAACAAACCGTTTGTGAGAACTGTTTCAACCGATTGAAAAAAGCTATTGAAACTGATGCATAATCTCGCTCATCCATGGGCCGAAGAGGAAGTATGATTAATCAGGGGATAAATTCTATCATTGACAGAGATGATAAACTGGATACAGGATCTCGTCCCAATGCTGCTAGGTTTTCTTCAATGGAATCCCTTTAAACAAGGAGAGTGCCGCGTCTCCAAGATTAACAAAAAAAAAAAAAAACTGGAATTAATTGCAGAGTTGACTTTCTTCTTCTCCAAACTCGATCACTGTTCCACCGAGATTCCAATTCGATCGTAATCCTTCAGCTCGTAACGTGGCAGAGGATTTTCAGGTTGTGTCCCAAAACTCGCATAACAATGAACGAGGGCTTGGATGGTTGTCTGTATTATTATTATATATTAGAAATTACTTTTGATAATATTTATTTTCAATATTTAAAAAAAAAAAAAAAAAAAAAAACTAATGATTTTTTTATAAGTTAGAATTTTTAATATTTAAAATTTATATTTAAAATACAATCAAACAAATTCAACTATATTATGTTTATTTATATGAAAGTGTGTATATATATATTTTTTAATTTTGTTTTAATTTTTAGTTTAAATAGTAGTTTAAATTTAATATTATGTTAAAGAATATTAAAATAAAATAATAGAAGATTTGAAAAAAAATAAATTGTCAGCTTAACTTCTCGAATCGAACAACATAATGTCGTCACAACAGATGATCTTCGTATTTAAAAATCCGCAAGACTGTAAGAGACGAGGAAAAGGCTTGCGAAGGCGCCATCTCTATCGGAAAATCGATCTATTCTCAGAAGGCTATGCACTTCTTCACAATTCCATATCCACAAACTTTCATTCGACTGTTGGATAGATTAGTAATCGCGGGAGATCTTCGCCGATGCATTGTCCTAATCCCTTACACATATCCAATCCTAGACGTCGGATATCTTGCGCCAACATAGTAACATCCTCGTCGTTCCTCCTCAAATTGAAGTCATATTTCGATTAGTCGAGCTGATTGTAACTTCTGAAGTCCCACAATTGGTACGGCCTATCGAATCCTACCGTGACGTGGTATGCTAAACACGGCTTACTTCTAATCAACCGGTTATAGTCGCAAGTGTCTTTAACTCGCCCTCGAAGCTCCTCCAAATGCTTAAGTTACAGTATATCTTCTGCCTGTGCATATTTGTTGTTCAGAAAATAATTAGATACTCAAAACTTACATTATTATTCATAACGAAGATAGAATATATAAATAGGCATAACATACAGTCTTATAGATTCAAATCTAAATAATCTAATCAGATAAGACCACATCTCAATCTAAATATACTAAGGGGTTGTTTGGTTCATGGACTTTTTTTGTGGGATTGAGATTTCACAAACATGATTTATATGTGATAGGATTTATTATATTTAGGATTTGCAATCATATTTGGTTAGTAAAATTATGTGGATTTATATTTCTCACGTTTTGTTTGTTTTTTATATGAGCGGAAGAATTTGGATTTTTTATATTCTAAATGACATAATAGTCCCCCCTATGAATTTTATTTATTTTGATAAATTAAACATCTAATTTATAATAAATATAAATTGAAAATGTATTAATAATTTTATAGGGTTTACAATAGGTTATCGTAAACTCGAAACCCGACTCGAACCCGACCTATTTATTTGAAGTTGAGTCCAATTATTTGAGTATTAGATCTTGATCCGGGTCAAATTATGGGTATTTTAATCGGGTCCGAATCAGGTCCAAATCGGGTCTAGGGTCTAAGCGGACTATACCCGCACCCAGATTCGATTTATAATATTAATAATATATCGACTATACATATGAAAAAATAATTTCTAACAATATAATTATATTAAAAATATTTTTTTAATTTTAATTTATTTATTATTTTATTATAATATTTTTTTTCTAAAATACATAAATAATATATATTGGGTCGGTACATACGTAATTTTAAATTAAAATTTAAGAATCGTAAAAAGAATTGAATTTGTTAGATCCATCGGATTTTACCGGGTATAGTTTCGGTCGGATCTGGTATAATCAGATCCAATTTGGATCTAAAGTCTAACAATATATATATTCGGGACGGATCTCAGTTCCGGCTGAATCCGACTTATTGTCATTCTGATAATTTTATAATTTAAATAAAATTTATAATAAATAACAATTTAAAACAATGAATTTATTAATTTATTTAAATAATATTTTACCATAAAAAATAATAGTATTAATTTAATTTAATATATAATTCAAATAAAAATTAATTTTAAAATTATTTAATTTAATTTTATATAAAGATATTTATAATATATAATATATATATTTTTTTTATATAAGGATATAAAAGTAAAACTTAAAATCCCATGGAATGGGATTTAAAAGTAACAGGGGATACCCCATTACTAATAAATCCCTCATTTGTAGGATTTTAGACCATGTTTTTAAATCCCATCATTTTAAATTCCATCATTTTTTTTTTTGAACCAAACATGGATTTCATGGGATTTTAAAATCCAAATTCCATGAAATCCTATCAAATCCTTGAAACAAATAGCCCATAAGGGTATGTTTGTTTGGGGGATTTCTCCATATTTTCACTAAATATCAAAATTTTTCTTCAAAAAATATTAAACCAAGCACCTATCTTTCATTTCTTATACTACATCCGTGTACGGCTCTAAATGTCTCACTTACTTTTTAGTGTTGATCTTTGAATATTAATTATTATATCAAAAAAGACTAGTACAAATTAAGAAAAAATTACAAAAATACTTTCATTGGCGTTTTATAATACTAATAGAAGAAAATTTATACAAAAAATTATACAAATATAAAAATACTTTTAATATTAAATACAATGACGCAACACCTATTTATATCACATCGTACAACTATTTTATTTCAAAATTTTTACTATTTAAATGCAACCCAAAATCCAAACCTCCAAACAAACACACCCTAAGGGTGTGTTTGTTTGGAGGTTTGGATTTTGGGTTGCATTTAAATAGTAAAAATTTTGAATTTGAATAGTTGTATGATGTGATATAAATAGGGTTTGATGTGATGTTTTGAATGTAAAATTGATTTTAAGTATAATATAAAAAATGAAAAATAGGTGTTTGATGTGATGTTTTTGGGGGGAAAAATTGGATGAATAGTAGAAATCCTCCAAAATCCTTCAAACAAACACACCCTAAGTGTAAAACTAAATATCTAAAATATCTTAAAGATACTAAAAATAAATGATCTTACAGTTTGGAATATGCATTTGGAGCCTGTTGAGGTGATGTTAAAGATACTCTCTACTCCCCCATCGAATGAAAGGTTGCAGGAGAGAATGGTGTGAGGGGTGTCCCAGCTCCAACTTCTCCCACCATTTCTTCTCAAACTCCATTAAATGAATAGCTCCGAGGGCTGCTGGAGGCGCTTCGTATGGCTGTCCGAAAACCAAAGAAAACTTGTGCAATGCTCGGCATTCATACAATGTAATATCACGAATCGAGCAGCAGCAGACCGTCGTCGAATAGCAGATGCTCTTCAAATTCGGTAGATTTTGAAGATATAGACACTCTAGTTTGGGAAGGCAGACCATAGATGCTTCTCCTAATTGCAGCTTCATTTCAAATATCTCTTCGATCATTTCACAATCGTCAATTGTGAGAATTCTCAGCTTCTGGAGATGCAAAGCTGGTAGCCCAAGCTTCTTCATCTTGCGGCACCTATGAATATGCAGGTCGTCAAGTGCTGTGAAAAAGCCATGTGATGAGATGGATGCCGATTGTTCGATCCTTGAAAGGCACTCTACTTCATCACAATCTCCCATTTCCAAGCTTTCTATTGATACGGGACTATTGAAAACCAATTTGAGAACTTCCACGAAACACTTGCTCAATCCTTGACACTCGATCAATCGTAGATATTGGACTTGGATGTCTCCGGCCAGTATAGTCGCGTCTTTATCCTTACTCGAATCAAAGTTATAATCATGGAACTCCAAATGATTATAAGCCCACAACTCTGCAATATTATTCCTATCCGATCCTATAAAGATGGAGTAAGCTAAAGCTGACCTGTTTCTCATCAACAGATTATAATCATCGACATCTTTCAATGTCCCTCGAAACTCCTCCAAATGCTTCAACTCCATTAGTTCTCCAACTGGAGCATATATCTTATGAGGAAGATAAAGGCATTGAAGATACCTGAACTTCGATACCAAACAGCTTGGTAACATTTTCAAGCTGTCGGTGTGACTAAACGACAAAAAATTGAGATTGAATAATTCTTCCATCCCTCTAGGCACTTCCTGTATTGCAGTCTTTGTGAGATCCAACTCCCTCAAATTCTCGAGTTTTCCCAAGTAGGGTAAATATTCAAGATCATAACAACCTGCAAGGATCAACCCTTTGAGGCTTTTAATGTCTGAGAAAGAATCCGGTAGCTTCTTGATTCTAGTCGAGGACAAATCAAGGATGAAGAGGCTGCACATTTGAAAGAAGAACGAATCCGGTATGAAGTTCAAGGGATAATTATGCGCCAAAAGTAAAGTCGACAACTTGGGATAGTTTGGAGACAATCCATCCGGTATTGTTCCTATGTCATTATGCATGAAAGACATCTTCTCAATGTCATTGCCCCATTCTTCTTCGATTGAAATATCCTTCAAGGAGTGGTGCCCGGCTATTACCACAGTCTTACCTTCCGCGATCTTTAACGCCATAGCTCTCACTAAATCATGCATCTTCACCCTCTTGGAATCGACTCTTTCTAATAAACAGACATCCACTAGTCTATTGACTATGGCACGACCTTGGATAAACAGTTGTTTCCTACTATCTCTTTTGTCCATAAACTCTTCAAGAATAAAGTATCGGATCAAACTCTCTTCCTTTATCTCCCAATCTTCTGGATAAAAGGAACAATATAGGAAACAATTTTGAAGCTTTGAATATCCTTTCTTCTTAATTCCTTTACATCGATCCAATCGGTCAAAGCTGTATTTGAGAACTTTAAACACATATTCTTCCATGTCGTCTTGCCCCATGATGGATGCCCTTAATTCTGCCAATGCATCACTCCATACATGAACCTCAGTCTCACCCTTCATGCTTCCTGCAATGGTGATGACACCTAGAGGCAAACCATCGCATACTTTCACCATACACTTGGCAATTTCTTGGACTTCTGAAGTTAGATTCACATATCGTCCAAGTGTATCTTTGAATAAGATCCATGCTTCATTTTCTTGCAGCGTCTCCACCTTCATTATTTTGTTACAATCAAATTGATCACAAACTTTCTTTGAGCGAGTAGTTATCATTATTTTACATCCATCCACAGAGAGCGGATCTCCTAACTTTTTCAAATCAATATGCTTCCAAACATCATCAAAGATAATTACAAGATTGTTTAATTTGGATAGCATTGCATTCAATCGTGATGCTCTTTTCGATTCATTCCTCCCATCCAAGAGATCACGACCTATGGATTTGGCTATTTCATCTTGCAGCATCGAAATTGTAAACTCTTGAGAAACTGTGATCCATACAACATGCTCACCACTTTGTTCTTGGAGACGATTATTTATATGCTTGGCAAGTGTTGTTTTACCGACACCCCCCATGCCGTAAATCCCAATGCTTGACACCCCATCAGACGACAAGAAACTCCAAATTGTTTCCAAATTTTTCTTAAATTGCTCACCTACCAACTCCCCAATTTGAAACTTGTCTCCCATGATTTTGCAATCATCGAGTACAAGCTCCCCAAAATGCTGTCTTTGCTCAACCAGATCGCGCACTCTTGCTTCTAGTTTTGCTGCTCGACCTCCACCAAATAATTGTGTCACAAAGCCTTCCATTCGCATTTCACTTTCCAACATACCAAGCTCATTGTCAATCAATTGAACTTGTTCTAACCAATCGCCAACTTCTCGTTTCCTTTTCTTTTTTCCAGATTGCTCATCCCTCTTGATTGCATCTTCGACATCAGATGCTTTAGCACGCAGTAACCTCATGTTAGTTTGCAGAGATTCGAAAGTGGCTTCGTCTCTTTCGCCTAATGCAATATCCACCAACTTCTCTGCTAACTTAGACAAAAATGTTTCCCCCAACTTAAACAGCAATGACTTCATCTTATCCTTCACACTGTCTGCCTAAAACATATGCACATATGCATAGCATAAATCATCAAAATTTGTATAATCTTAGAGCATAATAAGAATAGTTTGATCAGTTTGAACTAAAATATATTCAGCAAATTAAGGAAGAGTACTCTAACTACTTTGATCAGTTGCTTTTTCTTGAAAGATTATCAAATACTCTTAACCAATCCATTCACATAAATCAAAAGCTTTAAAGTTAGATGCTACGTACAATCAAACCTACTTTTCACACACACATAATATATATGTATATTTATATATATATATATATATAGTGAGTGAGAGAGAGAGAGAATTATCTGGAACAAGGCATAGGAAGAGCAGATTGAAAAATAAATAAATTAATTAAACATGCTGCTGAGTTGAACAAATTCCAAGAACAGTATATAAAATAGGGAAAGAGCTCTCAATGACATCAGAAACAAAGAAGAAGGAATTAAGGTTGATTAGGAGGATGATCACCTCAAATGGAAATGTAGAAGACCGATCGGAACTCGAATCTAGCGGAGATATGCTGAACTGCAAAATACAATTTCGAATGTGGAAATGAAGGATGAGATCTGAAAGAGAAAAACAGTCAACACCCAATAATGAAGAAAGAAAACAAATGTTAAGAAGGCAAGGCTCACAACTCAAGTCAAAGCCTTCACACTATGATGAAGTGTTTTAGTTATGACTTTTGAAAAAAGATTGAAAATGTTGAGAGTATATTTTACTTGTATCAAATTATGATGCAAATAATATAAACTATTATCTGTATATCAGTATATGTTTCAGATTTGGTGTTGCCCATCTGTTATAGCAAAATATATTATGTATGCATATCAAAAATATCAAGTTGAGGATGAGAAAATGTGCATTAGGAGATACATTTGTTCCTATGCATATGCATTTCAACTCTAATAATACTAATAAAGTTTAAATTTAATATTTACTATATGTATATACATAGAAGATTAAAGAGAAAAATAAAATCACAAACACACACCAACCCTGTTGGTTAAGAGACATTTGAGACTGAAAGCTGAAAAGAGTTGATGGCTTGCAACATTTTTACCGAGCCGAGCCGAACCACATTTTAGAGCTAACAAAAGCTGAAGATCAAACGATAAATGACCTTAGTTTGGTCCACAATATTCGCCGTAACCACAGGACTGACTCTGCATTCCGAGACACACAATATAAGTGAAGCCCCCAGTAAAACACTATGTCTAAGCTCCCCAACTATGTAGCCAAGTGCCAACTTCCCTCCATTTTATTCGCACTTCTCTTCCCAAACGGCGAATTCAAAACCAATTCAAATTGAAGTACTGCAGGCATTTTCCTTGAGAATTCATTTCATACACCATTTTACAAAGGAGAGTGATCGCGGACATTAAGATCAAGTGAACTTTCATCCTGGAAAATTGAAGGTAAACATTTTCGTTTAATTTGACTATACAGACAAATACAAGTCTCATACTACAAAAGCATGAAAAGATCCTTACAGACAAAAGCTTTCTGATATTAGAGGTCCTGAGCTCCATAGAACTGCAACCACTACAACCTGACATAGAAATTTGTAACCAATAAATCTTCTGCAAGATATAACATTAATACCTCTTGTATAAGTATTATTATCATGAAGAGCAGGTTTACTTTCTTAAAAAGGAGTGAACAACATCTTTACTTCCAATGGAGAAGTCCACATTCCTTTATTTGCTACAACTCCTACCATTTTATTTTATTACATTCAACATGCTCGATACCACTGTTGTCATGGCGTCGCCATGGCGGGCGCCATGGCATCCTGGCGCTTTTTGGGGAGCGCCAGGACTCCTCGCCTCGCCATATTAAACAAAGTGACTTGGGTCGGCCTTAGCAAGGCAATGGCGATGCCTCAACAACGCCATGGCAATGCCATGGCACTAGGCAGGCTAGCCAAGAGCCTTGTAGATCTCCAGCCTAGCCCCCAAACTGCATCGACCTCAACCCGTAAATCTTGAACCCGATTCAATCTAACTTGTTACCCTCTCTCTCCCCCGCTCTCCTCTACTCTTTCCGGTTTTAACCATGGTTGTCCATTGTGTACAACCGCTTCATTCCATAGCGTACAACCGCTCTCCTTTACTCTCTCTTACTCAGGGGTTATTTTTTTTTTTCAAATACTATTATAGTATTATTATTTAGTGCATTACATTATTATCTATTATTTATTTTACAGTTACTATTTTTAATTTGTAAATCATCATTTAATTTTATGTGTTAGTTATTTTGTATTTTCTTAATATGTTACTATAAAATTAATTATAAACATTAATTTTATATAAGATATAATATGTACATATAAGTTTTATACACTTACGCCGTGATCGCCATATTGTCGCCATGGCGGTCCACAGGCGTCTCGCCATAAAGGGCGCTGTGACAACCTTGCTCGATACAATCAATGAATCAAATACTAGTGAAGGAAACTTGTCTCAATTAAGATAAAACTTCTCAATTAAGATAAAACTTGTAAAAGAATACATTATTGTCCAAGAAATTGAAACTAACTAAAGATAGTGAGCACACTGCATATATATATATATATGAATAGATCTTTACTTCCAAAGGAGAAAGGGTCATTAGCTTCATCTTCTTCCACAATGGTGAAAGTATAAATTTACCTTTAAAATGTAGTAAAAAGATAGCTTAAAAAAGTATTGCAACTCATTTTGATTATTATGAACGGAAAAACTATTATAAGTGAGCCCTTAATATATACTCCCTCCTGCAAAAAGTGTGCTCAAAACTTTTGAACACGAAGATTTAGAGAAATAGTATTTTAATGGTATTTTTGTACTTTTTTAGGAGTATGCAAATATGGAATTTTTATTGGGTTAGTAATGAATTTTTAGATTAAAATAAATTGAGTGTAAAAAATATGTAAGCTCTATCAGTGTCAATGGTATAAATATGTGGAAAGTAACAGGTAGAAATTTAAAGAATGATTGAAATTTTTTAAGTAAATACGATATGAGTACATTTTTGTACAGAGAGAGAGAGAGGATTTAGCATCTTGGAGGAAATATTTTTTGGATAATTGAAAAAATAAATCATGTATTTTCAATAAAAGTATAACTGAAAATAAACGCAAAAAAATTATTTAACCTTAAAATAAATGATCTTACACAGCTTGGAGTTTGAAGCTTCAGTTTGTTCATGTGATTCCACCTGATCATGGCTTCATCTCCATTTAATGAATGGTTGCAGGAGAGAATGGTGAGAGGGATGCCCCAGCTCCAACTTCTCCCACCATTCCTTCTCACTATTCAATAATTCAATTTCATCAAGAGCTGTTGGTGGAGGCATATCATCATCATCATCTGGCTGTCCGAAAACCAAAAAAAACTTCTGCAATGCTTGGCAATTTTGCAACCTGATACAATAAGTCGAACTGCAGACTGTTCTTGTGTGGAAGATGCTCTTCAATTTTGGTAGATTAAGAAGACATAGATACCCAAGTTTGGGGAGGCAGTCCACAGATGCTTCTCTGAATTCTCCTCCTTCGCCGGTGCCTAATTGCCTCATTTCAAATATCTCTTCTATCATTTCACATTTAACAATTGTGAGATATTTCAGGTTCTGGAGATGCAAAACCGGTAGCCCAAGCTTCTTGATCTTGTTGCAACTATCAATCCACAACGTGCATAGTGACGAAAAAAGGATGTGTGATGAGATGGATGCTGATGAAGATGCCAATTGTTCGATCCTTGAAAGGCACTCTATTTCTTCACAATTCCAAATTTTCAGGCTTTTTGTTGATGTGGGATTATTGAAAACCAGTTTGAGATCTTCCACTAAGCACTTGCTCAACCCCTTACACTTCATCAGGTGTAGATATTCGACGTCTCCGGCCAGTATAGTCACATCTTTGTCCTTACTTGAATGAAAGTCATAATCATTGAACTCCAAGCGATTATACTCCCACCAGTCTGCATTCTTATTACTGTCAGATCCTATAGCAATGGAGTAAGCTAAACCTGACCTGTTTCTCATCAACAAATTATAATCATCGACATCTTTCAATGTCCCTCGAAACTCCTCCAAATGCTTCAACTCATGTATTTCTTCCACTGGAGCATATTTATCAGATGGAAGATAGAGACATTGAAGGTGTGTAAACTTTGATACCAAGCAGCGTGGTAACATCTTCAAGTGGTGTTTTCCAATAAATGACAAAAAATTGATATTGAATAATTCTTCCATCCCTTGAGGAACTTGTTGTATTCCACTGAATGAGAGATCCAACTCCCTCAAATTCTTGAGTTTTCCCAAATAGGGTAGACATTCGAGTTTAGAACAATGTCTAAGGATCAACGCTTTGAGGCTTTTCATGTCTGAGAAAGAATCTGGTAACTTCTTGATTCTAGTCCAGGACAAATCAAGAATGAATAGACTGCACATATGCAAAAAGAATGAGCTTGGGATAAAATCCACGGGATTATCCGCCAAATGTAATGTCGTCAACTTCGGACAGTTTGGAGACAGTTCATCCGGTATTGTTCCTATGCCATTAAGCATCAAAGATACCTTTTCAACGTCATTGCCCCATTTTTCTTCAGTCGGAATATCCTTCAAGGAGCGGTGCCCAGCTATAACTACAGTCTTACCTTCGGCGATCTTTAATGCCATAGCTCTCACTAAATCATGCATCTTTACTACTCCGGGATTTGCTCTTTCTAGTAAACAAACATTCACCAATCTGTCAAGTATGGTGCAACCATGGTTAAACAGTTCTTTCCGACTATCTCTTTTTTCCATAAACTCCTCTAGAATAAAATATCGGATCAAAAACTCTTCTGGTATCTCAAAATCTTCTGGATATAAGGAGCAATATAGGAAACATTGCTGAAACTTTGAATACCCTCTATTGTTTCCTTTGCATCGATTCAATCGGTCAAAGCTATATTTGAGAACTTTAAACACATATACTTCCATGTCTTCTTGCCCCATGATAGATGCCCTTAATTCTGCCAATGCATCACTCCATACATGGACCTCTGTCTCACCCTTCATGCTTCCTGCCATGGTGATGACACCTAGCGGCAAACCATCACATATTTTCACCATACACTTGGCAATTTCTTCAATTTCTGAAGTTAGATTCACATCTCGACCAAGTGTATCTTTGAATAAGATCCACGCTTCATTTTCTTGCAATGTCTCCACCTTCATTATTTTTTTGCAATCAAATTGATCACACACTTTCTTTGAGCGAGTGGTTATCATTATTCTACATCCATTTACAGATAGTGGATCTCCCAATTTTTTCAAATCAATATACCTCCAAACATCATCTAATACAAAAACAAACTTCTGATTTTTGGACAGCACACTATTCAGTCGCGATGCTCTTTTATCTTCATCCCTTTCATCTAAGAGATCGTGGCCTATGGATCTGGCTATTTCATCTTGCAACATTGAGATAGTAAACTCTTGAGAGACCGTGATCCATACAACTCGTTCCCCACTTTGTTCTTGGAGACGATTATTTACATGTTTGGCAAGTGTTGTTTTCCCAACACCTCCCATGCCATAAATCCCAATGCTCGGCACCCCATCAGATGACAAGAAACTCCAAATTGTTTCCAAATTTTTTTTGAATTGCTCACCAACTAACTCCCCAATTCGAAACTTGTCTCCCTTAATGTCGCAATCATCAACTACAAGCGCACCAAAATGCTGTCTTTGCTCAACCAGCTCGCGCACTCTTGCTTCTAGTTTTGCTGCTCGACCCCCACCAATGAATTGCGTCACAAAGCCTTCCACTCGCACTTCATTTTCCAACATACCAAGTTCATTGTCAATTGATTGAACTTGTTCTAACCAATCGCCAACTTCTCTTTTCCTTTTCTTTTTACCAGATTGCTCATCCTTCTTGATTGCATCTTCGACATCAGATGCTTTAGCACGCAGTAACCTCATGTTAGCTTGCAGAGAATCGAAAGTGGCCTCGTCTTTTTTGCTGAGCACAATATCCACCAACTTCTCTGCTAACTTAGACAAAAATGTCTCCCCCAACTTATACACAAACTCCATCTTATCCTCTACACTTCCTGTGGCAGATTTGAACTAAAATATCAGATGTTTCTTTCTTGAAACGTGACTAAAATATTATGAGAAATAACATCTTCATTACATAATCAATTTAAAGTAAATGTTAATTACAATTAAAACTACCTGCATGGATATATACATATATGTAATATCTATACACACGCATGTGAACGAGACATAGGAAGAGTGAATTGATAAATAAATTAAACATGCTAAGTTCAACAAAATCAAAACATAATATACAAAGAACAAAAAGGTTGAGTTAGACCATTATCACCTGGGCTCAAATCAAAATCAAGGAGAGGTTGCACTGCAAAATACAATTTATAACCCGGAAATGTTGAATGAGATCTGAAAGGGAAAAGGCAGCAAGCAGCAAACCCAATAATAATAATAATGGAGAAACAGAAACAAATGTCTTGACTTGTAAGTCAAAGTTTTTGTGTGGCTCTCATTCATTGCAACGAAGAGATAGTAGTGTGTCTGCACAGGAATCCAATGCGCAAACATGAACCAAACATTGTAAATATTTGAAATTTCGAATTGAAAGTAAGTAACATCGGTGTGTTAATGTAGACGTGAGAATTTAGGTAAAGTATAATTAGTAAGTAATTAAGAAGTATATTAGTAAAAAAAAATTGTTATTTAGTAAAAATAATTATAGATTAAGATTAAGATAAGTAAATAATTTAATTAAAATAAAAAAAATTATAAGATTTAAAATGTGATTAAAGTGCATAATCATATTTTCAAAAATAGTAAATAACAAGTTACGTGGGACGGACGAAAATAGAAAATAGGGACAAATTATGTGGGACGGAAGGAGTAATATTTACAGGTAATTAGGTCTGGTTTAGGTTTTTTTTTTTTTTCTTTCTTTCTTTTTATGATCGTGAGAATCCGCTATCGCTACCTCAGAGTATACACACTAGGGTAAAGGGTGAAAGCTACTGCACTTTAGTAATAATTAATTTTAAGTTAGAACACCAAATCTCTTTTTAACACAAATATTTAATCTTATAGAAATTTAAGCTTTTTTGCTATTTTTATATTTCAATTCTTGACATTACTATTATAGTAATTTTTTCAAAATATCACATCAAGTATAGTTTTGTGATTGATGATTTGGGCAAACAAAAAAAATAAAATCAAGTAAATAGAGTTAAAAATACAATTCACTAGGAACACCTTGTGCAATAATCACATAAAAACCTTAAAAGACATTAGATGAAAAAGGGGAAGAATAAAGTTGTGTTTGGTACAAAAAATTATACAGAATATTACTTTTTTATAAGATGATAGAATATAATATACTCTCTCCGTCCACAAACTAATGTCCTACGGCTTTCCTATATGGGACGTCCATCAACCATTGTTCTATTTTCTTTTTTTAAATACAAATTTTATAATTTTACCCTTCATTCATTTATTACTTTTAATCTCTACCATACAATTAAGGGCAAATTTGTCAATTTGAGATTTTAACGGTAAAACTTTTGAATTTGAACAATTACATGATTTGATATTTATAGATATTGAGGTGAAATTTTGAATGTAAAATTAATTTTTAATATAATTAAAAAATAAAAATAGATATTTGATTTGATATTTTCGAATGAAAAAAAAAAAAAAAAAAAATCAATGAAGAGTAAAAATTTTAACAAATCCTCCAAATAAACACCCTATATATATTGGGAATCCTATTGAAAAAAATAATTAGAAAAACAATTCTATTTTTAAATATGCATTTAATGCTACTATGCAATAAATGATAAAACTATTTTTTCACCTAAAGTTCAAAATATTACATCAAAAATCTAAATTCATTAGAAACATCACAACCAACAATAATTTTTGTTTAAACCATTATATCAAAACTTAATTTCAATTAAAAAAATTTCCTATCTAAAACTCAAATAAACACCACATATTATAGTCACACAAACCTTGAGCTCTAATTTAATTTTAAATGATCTTTTGGTCTAAAAATTTGATTTATAAGAACATGCATTTATTAATTACATATATAATCTTTCTACAAATATAATCAAATGTAGTGATGTTCTAACAATCACACCATCCTATTCATACCAAAAGGGCATTCAAGCTTCATAAAATCTATCCAAAAAAGCTATCAATACAAATAAATAATACAAGCGGCAACAAGGCTTAAAATTATAGAGGTGAGATCTATAAATCTTCAGCACAATTTACTGTATTTCACACAAATTCTCCTATTTCAACTTCAACTGCTTCATATATGCTTGGTTAATCTTAACTCATACCCAACTTAATCCAAAAACAAATTAAATTAAATTAAATTACACATGTATAAAATTAACCACAAAGCATACTGATTATCTATAAATATTGTTAAATACTTACAAACTACTTAAATTTTCCTTTACATATTACATATACACATCACGACATCAAAAGCTTAAATTTACAAGAATAATTTCGCCAAATATATATTCAACAATATCAAATAGGAGGTTAAACGACCAGCTTTATATTCAATAATAAATAATTGAAGCTATAAAATCAGCCAATACTACGATCATTATCTTATATACACGAAATCTAATGATTTGGTAGCAATTAAGTGACAATGCATTTCAGCATTGAACTCGAGCTTTGATAACATCTGCTATTCATACTCTATCCACAGAGACCATATTCTTGCTATGCCAAAGGACAAAACCCGGCACATACTTAAATCTAACTTCACAGACAATCATAAATTTTTATTACGGTCTATTATTCATAGCTAATGCATGTAGGTTCGTTCTTTTAGAGTTTATTTTTATATTTGAACATCTATCTTTTCCAGAAACACTCCACCCAAAATGTCAATACCCACAACAACCGTCCCCGGAGCATCATCCCAAGATTGTCCCAACAATTTCAGTAGCATATTGTTGAGGCACCAAGAGGGTTCTGTTTTGGACGATGAAACACTCCCCAGAGGTAGTACTTTCCTTGCCAGTCTGCAAGACAATATTGAAAGTAAATAATGCTGAGTCTCAAACATTAGATAAGCTCTGTCAACAAATGATCGACATTAAAAAAGGATTTTAGATACATTGGTGGATGGAGAAAAGAGAATGTAAGCAGTATTCGAAAGTAAAAATAGAAATTCCAATATTTTTCAGCCATATTGAAATAATATACAATTCTTGCAACCAAATTATTTTGTCAAGTAGAGAACCAAGATAGCACTAATTCATAGAATGTAAAGATTCAGACACCATATTAATCGGAAAACTAGTCATTTATTATAAACCAGAATCTGTAGATTATTTCTGACGAAAGACATTCTGGCTCTATGAAACAAGAATGGAACTTGAAGTTATGAATTTGAAAGTGGAAATGTGTCGCCAAAAATTGATAGTGCATTGTCCTAAGGATATATAAAACTCACATTGACAATCGACAGGCAGAAGTTTGGAAGTGAAAACAAGAAGCTCTATTTCACCAATCTGTTTCCTCAATGCCAAGTTCTCCTCGTTTATGATTTCCAGAAACGAGACAAAATCAGTGCACCTATAAGTGCAATCAGTGTCCAAAAACTCATCAAACAAGTTAAATAGGAAGTGCTTTCTTAAGCTCCTGAACAGAAAAGGGAGACACACCTCTCTGCATCACGTGAAAAGAAATAAAGTCCAATGTCTCTTGTATCTGGAAAATACCACTTGAAAAAGTAGACCCAGAACTTTTTGCAAGAAACCAATTCAAATTGAAGTACTGCAGGCATTTTCTTCGAGAATTCATGCACCATTTTACGAACTCGGGAAGGAGAATGAGCACGGACATGAAGATTCAGTTCCCGGTTTCTAAAATTATGGATGCTGAAGGTTCCTCTAGAAAATGAAGGTGAACTATGTATTATAATGTGATGTAAATAACTTGATAGATATTTAGATTAATATTAATGGTTATTATTTAAGGATCGGTGTTGAAGATGATGCGGGTTTCGCTGTTTCGAGGCAGTCCCTACCCATTCCATTCACTCAATGGTGGGAATGGGTAGGGTGTGCTTCGAGACAACGAAACCAGCATCGTCATCACCATAACTAATATTAACATATTCCACATAAGAATCATGGAATAATATGTGAACCAAAATTAATTTTGGCAGTAATAATATTACACATTGATCATAGCATATCAACAAATAACTCTTTTCCTGCTTAACTTCAAGGACCAAAGTGATAATATAATATAAATAACTTTACAACTTGCAGTGTCAAATATGTCTCCTTGCATTATCCCACTCCTTAGGAGTGCATAATGATAAAGTAAAGAATGTACAATGGTAAACATTGGTGGATTTACCGGGGAAGAAGGTTTCATTTATTTTGGGAAAGGTCAAAACAGGAAAGACTAAATACATCTGTCCTGAAGAAGTAATTCTACTCTCATCAGGAGCCAATAAATCTCAGCCCATTTTAAAGCTTACTCCCCACTACCGCCCTTTCTGGTACCGATTTTGAAGTATGAGAAATCTCTTATTATGGTCCATAACTCATTCTATTCCTTTTGGAAATACCTACATTGGCCTAAGAAAAAAAAAAAGATGTAAGATTGAAGCTGTAGAACTGTTAAAAACTAATCATGATGCTATGGTGATACGAGGTTAAACAATATTAAGGTTTATGCTAGATAAGGAGAGAACTGAATTCACTTAGGTTTGATCATGGCACGATTGTTTTTTTCTTTTTGAACACACACACACCCGGGTTCAAACCCGAGACACAAGCCTCCCTAAGAGAGGATGCCCCCGCTTGGCAATAGCCAATTTCTCGATCATGGAACGAGGTTAATGACTCAATAGTACGGTTTTGCCACAATTCAGTAGCGAGAATCAGTTGATTAGTACATCAATAAATTTATGCAGCTAGCAACATAAGGACGATGGAGGGATGAGAAAATCCTACCGAAATCATGTGAATTCTCATCCTAGAGAAGGACGGGAGAAACTAGTAAATAGAAGGTACTTCAAATTTCTTTAAATTTTGACTGTTTCTAATAACTATACAGACAAGTAGAAGTCTCATATTACAAAAGATGCTTACAGCCATGAGGCACCCAAAGCAGGTGTGTATGCATGTGTGTCGTGATCAGACAAAAGATTTCTGTTCAGATGTCTGATACTAGAGGTCCTGAGCTCCATAGTTTTGCAACCATTACCACCTGAAATAGATATTTTTAACCAATAAAAGTTCTGCAAGATATTTCATTTAATACCTCCTGAATTAAATATTAGGATTACGATGCTTCTCAGAGAGATTCGTAGGAAAAATTTTCTGGTTTGTCAATCACAGTGTATCATGAAGAGCAGGTACTTTCTTTAAAAAGTTCTTCTAATGCACCTCTTAAATTTACATATATACCTCAAAACTTTCATACTCCAAATAAAGCATGAATGTGCAGAACAGGATGTCAAATTGAAGGTCAAGAAGAGATTTCTACCATTTCTCCAGAAAGCAGAGAAACACAAATGCGGAAAAAAGTACCGATCTCATGTATCATATGCATAAATTCAATGCAAAAAACAAAAAAAAAAAACAAATCAATCACCTGAAAGTTTATCGGCTTTTTCCTGTTTAGAGGTCTCCAGATTATCAGACCTTTGAGTGTTGAATCTCTCATTGGGTCTTGAATGAGAAGTGCCCTGGAATAAGAATATAGTCATTCAATTATAGGCCCTAATAAGAGATCTCTCATATTTCGTAATCCCTGCTAAAAAAGGCTTTAGTGGAAGTAACCTTTAAAATGGGCAGAGAGTTATCGGCTCCTGGTGAGAGTGGCGTTGCTTCTTCAGGACAGACGTATTTAGTCTTTCCTGACGTGACCTTTCCCAAAGCAAATGAAACCTTCTTCCTCTGTAAATCCACCAATGTTTTCCTTTGTACATTCTTTACTTTATCATTATGCACTTCTAAGGGGTGAGATAATTTTGAAATGCAAGGTAGTTGTTCAGTCATAGGAGACGCTAGAGATAACACTTTAGATCTAGATTCACAGTCCTCACAAATCCAATCATCATGTTCCAGAAGAAGAGTTTTCATGCAATACCTGATATTAGTTGCTGTGATTAATAGAATTACAATAGGGGGAAAGTGCAAAATAAATAAATTGACATAATATTCAAGTATAGTAAGACAAGCATAGTTTCAAGCAAGGAATCATGTAATTATTTTAAAATATGGAACAAGAAGACAAGTGCTATAACATCTTTGCTTTCCTTTTCATTTATTGAATTAAAAAGACATGAACAGAAATGGATAACTAACAAGTGAGAATAGCATTAAGAAGGGGAGGAGCACACACAAAAGAACATTCACAGAGAGAGGGCTCACATGTGCTCACAACTACTCTTACAACGGCAGCAGAAGATTATGGCTTCTTTAACACCAATATCACCACAAATGTCGCAGCACACCATCTAATGCACATCACCAGCAGGATAATGTCTTATTAAATAAAATTAGATATAATAATAACAACTCGTGCAAAAAACACAGATTAATGTTGCCAGATGTTCCTTATCTACAAAACAGACTAAAGAGCCATAGCAATTGCACCACAGCATTAAATAATTTGAAAAAGAACTCTCAGGGGGCACAATCACAGAAAAACCTAAACTAATGAAACCTAGCAGAGGTCAAACAATTCAAGAGTGAATTCCAGTAGAAGAATAACCAACCAATAAGCTATGCACCATGCAACAATTCAAAGATAAATTCATATTAGTCTAAACTGCATTAACTATACAAAAACAAGAAGATATAAACATCTTCAAGCTTTTCTACCTAAGGATTTAAGCATGTATGCAATGAGATGCATAAGAACCATCTGAAGGTCAATTCTACACCAGTTGGCAGCAGCCCACCGGAGAAGTCTTCTTATGTCATATAAACACATGTATAGATGGCTGTGGGTGCGTGCGTGCGTGTGTGTGTGTGTATATATATATAGGTCTATTATGATGAGAAGTCATCATTCAATGCTATACATTGTGAATATGCAGCATAACAATTGTCGGTCAAGGCCAAAATGGTTTAACTCAACAATATAAAACCATCAATCATATACATTACGTTTCACTTTAACAAATCTCTTTAGTAGCCCAACTTGTTCAGGTGACTAATAATGCAAGACCATTATCAATCATCTCGATTATAATTAACTTGACCAAGATCTCAAATACCCTCAGCTGTTACAGATTCCATAAAATGCTTATTGGGACTGATAGGGTAAACCGAAGTCTTTCATATACAATCATACATAATAACAGAGCCATTATTTATATATGCAATCTTAATACAAGGTAATCAGATTTATCCCCATTTATTTCAATTATACTCTTGAGTTATTAAAACATTTTTAAATAGCCATTTGATCCAATAAAACTACAAGCGATTGCGCAAATTAGTTTCAAACAAGGTACACATGAAAGAACTCTTATATATACATATATATATATATATATATCAAGAACTCTTTAGATGATAAGCACGAGCATTCAACAACAGCAATTATCTACAGCCATCAAGAACCATATCTCAAGATACACTGTCGGGCATAATTTATTTAATCTATTTCGCAATCTTTAGAAAACCTCCTCCCCCAATTTACTATTTGCATTCAATCGGGTCAAAAAGAATCGAAAAACACGATTTACACCGCACGTACACAAATGCCATAAAGATCGCGAAGATCAAGAAACGGGAGTTGATTAAAAAACTAGTAAAAAACAAGCACATCCTTCCAAGAATTGCAAGATTCGCTACAAAACATAATTAATTAAATACTTCAAAAAGAACCCGTGGATATTAACACTAATTAAAAGTATAATAAAGCAAATCGACGTCATTTAATAAATAGCCAGTAGGGTTTAATAAGGGTTATCTTTCGCAGGTAGGTCACCATTGTTGTGGGGTCCGAGCCGCAAAAAAGCACTAGCTTATGTCGTTGCTTTCCGTAGCAAGCGCGGCCCTCAAAGTCCCGACATACAATCTACAGAAACATTTTGGCGCTCAGCGCTTTGGCTGCAATGGCGAAGTCGAGAAAGAGACGTCTCGTCTTGGCTTTGCTGCCATATGTTGTAGATGATATGATATTATATGAATGAAGATTTCTGCTGGTAAATGGGTTTATTAGTTAGTTATATACTAACAAATGCACGTAACACTCTTTTTATTTATGGCGTAAATTAATTTTTATTAATGTAAAGTTAAAAAAAAAAAAACATTTTAAATATTTTAAATAATTATTTAGAATAAAATAAATAAATAAATAATTGATCTATTATTTATTTTTATAGTTTTTAATTATTTAAATTATTTTATATTTTTTTTCTTTATAAAACTTTCTTCTTCAATCTGTTACTTTATTTTTGCAATAGATACGATGATAAAACAGTTGATCTACAGAATTTTATTCCAACCATAAACTTCAATCTTCACTTTAAGAAGTATATTACTATGTATTCCTCTTTTATATTATTTTATATGACTTTTTATATTTATAAATTACAAATCGACTTTAATTTTTTTTACAATATAACTCAAACATATATAATTACACATTATTTAAAAATATATATATATAATTATATATCACTTTTTGAAAAGTAAAATTATATATCATTTTTTTAAAAATAAAATTACTATATCACTTTCCGAAAACTAATATTATACATTATTTTTCAAAAAAAAATAAAATTACATATTATTTTTTAAAAAATAAAAATTACACAATATATCCAAAAAAAATAACAAAAATACACAAACATCACACAAATTTCACTCAATTGAGTGTTTCGTGCAAATTTTACATCAACACAATGGAGTTTCATACTGTAAATAAAACACATTGTGTTTTGCGCATTTTTAGTAAAATACAATGGGATGTTATATAATTTATGCATTACTACCTCCCTTTTGTAAGAAATGTATTGATTGTCTTTTGCGTTATTGTATTTAATTTTAAAAATATCTTATAATTTACCTCACAAATTTTATTTGTATTTGTATTATAAAAAAACTAATAGAGATATTTTGTCATTTTGTATTGCTTTGTATCATAAGATACTAATAGAGATATAATAATTAATATTCAAATATTTAGAAACAAAAACCTATGATACGAAATACTCCCTCCGTCCCATAAGTAAATATTCATTTGTTTTTTTGCACGTAATTTTATAAATATTAATATTATATTGGGATATAGTATGAATAAAGTAGAAATAACTCAAATAACTTTATTAGTATGTATGATATAAAGGTAATGACATTTGTGTAATATCTTGTAAGTTGTAAGGGTATTTGTAACGTTAGTTAGGTAGATAGTAAAATTACTAAAAATGAAAATGAATATTTTGTTATGAGACGAACTAAAATAGAAAAATAAATACTTTGTTATGGGACGGAAATAGTAGTATTTTAGTTTGAACTTTTTGATTTTTTAATTTCTTGTAATGAGTATTAGATTTTATTTTTGTTTACTTTTATAAAAATTGTTTTCTATTGTTTATAATTATTTTTAGAATCGCAATTGAAAATACTAAAATATAATATTATTAAAAAACTAAAATAATAATATTTTAATGTAAAAACAAGAATGTAAAAAAGATGGAATATTATAAAAGATTTATTAGTATATACTTCAAACATAAAATATTTATTTTTTTGTATTTGTTTATTAAGTGTTTGTTTATAAATTTATTTGACATTATGTACAAAAAAAAAATTATATTGATAATATATAATATTTTGTATTAAAAAATTGAATTTGTGAGTGAATAAAAAATATATATATCGTATCATATAAAAACAAATGACGAACAAATCCACTATTTTTATTATAAAACTAAATGCGTGTTTATTTTCTAGTTTTGTTTTGATTATTTAATAATAATTAGATATAATATTTTAAAAAATAATATATTAATATATTTCTATAAAATATCATAATTTCTTTAAAAAATAGAAAATTAAAAGTATTTTTATAATTATTTTTATCAATATATTCTATATTTAATTATTATTGATTGTTTTATGTCCAATCAATTAAAAAGTGTTCTTTTGATATTTTGGAAAATTTTGATAGTTTTGGTTGTTAGTTACGGAGACATGTGAAAATATTACTATAATTGTTTATATATTTTTCTTTTTTTAAAAAAAAAAAATATTATTATATTTTTATTTAAATATTTTGTAAATGTGAACAAACTGAAATTATATAGCAGGTCTAATATTTTTAATATGATGTAATTTATGATAGTAAAGAATAATACTTTTACCAAAATCTCTGCAAAATGAATTATTTTATTTTATTTTATTTTGAATCAATGCAAAAGCTTTTAAAAGCTTCAACGTCACAAATTTATCCTCACACCATCAAGTCAATACCAATTATTGTTGTCGGTTTATTTTGCAGAGTATTAAGTTCGGCCAGAGTTTATCCAAAATGCACTCGACAAATAAAGACTGTCTATGTTATTAAAAAATATATATATATATCAATCATTGTTATTCATTAATGAAATTCGAATGTGTTTGTTCTTTTAATATTTCAAATTAAAAATAACATTATTCATTTACATATTTTTCAATAAAAATATACTATCTTTTATCACAATATATTACACTAAAATAATATTTAAACAAAAATATAAATAACATCTTATTTCAAATCAATTTTAAACCACAATCAAACAAAACACCGAACACAAATTTTCAATTGAGAGGTCCCCGACGCCTTAGGTCTCCTTCCATTCATGGTTCGCTTAGTGTGACTTTTCGGTCGGGCCTGATTTGCATAGTATGAGGTTCGACCGAGGGTTTACCCAGTACGCACTTTCGAATAACGGCGGCTGATTCCCATATATATATATATATATATATTAAAAAAGAATATTATGTTATAAATTAATATCTAACATGAATTTTTTTTTTTTAGATCTTACTTTAACAAACGCACATAATATCATACTAATAACAAATTTAAAAGTTAGTCAGTGGAAGGGATTGATTTTTATTTTGGATGACGTAGAAATCCTCAGCCGCTATCCGAAAGTGTCCACTGGATAAACTCCAGCCGAATCTAATAGCCAATCTATTTGATTATACATTTAGTGGTTAGAATAAATGTATCAAGCTCCTAACAAATCAATACCATACTTCAAAACAAAATACATATAGTTATAATTTTTATTTTTTTTATTTATATTTATTTTTATATGATTTAATAATAAATTCAAAAGCTCAAAAACAAATGTAAATACCCCCTAGATTAAGAGCTACAAAATAAATGCATCAAAATAACACTTAGCCACGTACATACATGCGTACAAATATAGTTGTAAGCATATCCATATGGTCTTGTGATCGATCGATCTTGTCCTAGAGATTTAAAAAATAAAATTAAAAAAAAAAAAAGAAAAAAGAACCATCCCTAAATACACCACATATGCCAAAACAAACAACTTCGAACCAAAAACAAACAGGCCAAAGGGTTTGTCTCTAGATCCCGCCATCATCGTCGTCGTCATTTTTCATAAGGATATTGAGCTGTGCTTGCGTTCATCGATAATGTTCAAGATCACAAGAGAAGTAGTGCGAAGAAGGCGACGAATATGGAGAAGTACAAGAGGAAGGCCATGGGGAGGCGTCGGATCCCTCCATTGTTGAAGTCGTTAGTTCCCATTGGGCTTAGACCGTTGCCCGACCCGCCTAGTACCCCACCGGCTGTGTTGGGGGTCGTTATGAAAGGCGAACCGCCGTTCGAGACGGTGGTGGTGGGCGTGGCGCCGGTGTTAGTACCCGGGACTGTCGTCACCGGAGTTGTAGAGCTGTCGATACCAACAGAAAGGATCGATTAGACATGTATTTTAATGAAAAATTATGTTTAGAGCACATATGTGGAATCCATAATCTCTATCGAACTTATGATTCTTGAATCGATTAGAACGAAACAATGAATGCGACAAAATGCCATGCTAAATTCTCGGAAAAATGTAAACTATCACTATAACTAGCATCACTTTCTACGGTGATATAGCGTGAAAGAATCCAAACATAATGAAGACAAATATAACAATAAAAGCACTAAAGCCGAAAAGTTTCGTCCGTATTAGGTGACATTCTACATGACCATGCATTATTTGGCCTTTCAATGCTACGACAAGATTAAACTATCATTCTCCAAACAATTTCGCATCAAATCTACTATGTAGTAATTTCTTACTAGAAATCGAATATTAATGACGAATAAATTAGTACACTACTATCAAATTTGGCTGCGGATTCTACGTTGATCCGGCCAATTCAGCATGATGCTGATTTGATTGAATCAACATATGTCATACACATAACTAGTATATATTTACACATAGTCCAGCATATGCTGACATATGTTGTATTATACATATGCTGAGATATGTATAAATATATGCCGCCTTTGTATAGCATATGTTGAGATATGCCCATCAAACTTACATAAAATCATCTAGGCAACAAAATATGTAAAAACTAAAAATTACTCGACCTCAATCTCATATATATATATGTATAAAAAGAAAAAAAAAAAAAAAAGACTAAATACGACAACGCCATTTAGACTTTAGTTCTACACCCCACCCCACGAATGTTACACTACCATCCAGCCATTATACGATACTTTATTCGAGAATAAATAATTCTTTCACTATTTATTACCAATCATTTTCGGTCCAACAAAAACAGCAACAAGTCGGGTCCCCTCCACATTCCATACATAAATAAAAACTCTAAGCTTACCTAAAACTTCAATCTCTCATTCAATACTAATTGACAAAAGAAAGCAAAAACAGTGAGCAATTCAAAACAACATAAAGTGAATAATCACTTTTGCAAATTGCTATAAATTCAAATTCCCTGTTGTTCCAATAAGCAAAGTCAAATTGGGCATCAAAGTGAATTTATTTCTTCGATAATAATTGATTCAAATTTGAAATTGAGGTGGGGCCCATTTTGGGCATTAGGCCTTTTCACCATCCCCATGACAAGAGACTGCCATCATCACTTATGCCCACCACTGTAGTGTCACTTTCACCCATTCACATTTCTATCTATACATAACTATTTAATTGATATATATATATATATATACTCCTTCTGTCCCATTGAAAGGTTACCGTTTCTTAATTTAGTAATTATACTACTTACTTCACGTAATAAATATTCTTTCAACTTATAATATATTAAACAAATGTCATTACTTTTATATTACCATACTAATAGGTGTATTTTTATTTTTTTTTACTGCAATCCAATATAATATTAATATTCAAAAATCTACGTGGAAAAAAGCAAACGCAATCCTTTTTACTGGATGGAGGGAGTATTTTTTTATAACTATTGATATTTTTCTATTTTGGATAAAAAATTTATTAAATCAAAATTTATTTAAGAAGTATAAGTCGATTTAACTAAGTATATAACATATATCACGTAAGACCACTCAAAATCTCTTTATTTATATTTCTAGTTAAAAATCAAATATTTTTATCTATATTTAAAATTAACACCTTTTATATAACGTATTTTTTTATTTATAGAAAATTTTTTTCTCTACAAAATTATATTCATATTGCGTAGCATTATTTATTGTCATATAATTTTTAAATATTTAAATTCATATTCTATATTTTTTTTATCATATACATTAAATTTATTTAAAACTAACAATATTATTAATTATATAAAAAATAATAAAATACTATTATAACTTATGATTACTAAGTAATTAAACATCATTATCTAAATACTCTTTAGATAATTTATGTATAAATCAGTACAGTAAACAATTTTATTTATATGTAGTTTTATTATTTATTTATAAATAATATAATTAATTTATCACTATCTTTTATTCACCTTATAATTTTCTTTATTAATTCTTTAATAAAATTTTCATAATAACTCATTTTATTTTTTATCTATCTACTTCTATAACCTGCAAATTAGATCCGATATACCAAATTACGCTGCACTAACTATAGTTCGAACCCACGATCATGGTCCACCCCACACATTATAATTAAAGCGTGTTTATCTGGTTTTACCCTTTTTGCACAGTATGCAAATCCTAGCTTTAAATCATTACATTAAATAAATAAATAAATAAATCATTGCATTCAATGGCTACTTATTCTAGGTTAAATTTTCCAAACACAACATTCCAAATGCAACAAAATGCACTCTGTTCATGTCTATCAATGTATGCATTCATCCAAGAATTATATATATATATATATCTTCTTTATCTGTTATTTGATTCTATTTTTTTTTTTTTTTTTTTGAAGAAAAATGTATTTTATTTAAATTTTTTTAATCCCTTCATCCCATAACTATATATTCATTTGCTAGCACGGGATTTTAAAAATATTAGTATTATATTAAAATATAGTAGGAATAAAATAAAAATGACTAAAATAACCTTATTAGTATTGTGTGATATAAAGGTAATGACATTTGTATAATATATTGTAAGTTGTAAGGGTATTTGTAATGTTAAATAAATAGTACAGTTACTAAAAAAAAAATAAATACTTTGTGACGAGACGGATTAAAATAAAAAAAATTGTACTTTCTTATGGGACGGAGGGAGTACTAAAAATTATACTTTCTCCGTCCCAAAAGTATAATCTTATTATCTTGGACACGGAATTTAAAAAATATTGATATTATATTGATAATTGGACAAAAGTTTGGTCAAAAGTATAGATAAATGACTTTTAGCCTTGGGGGTATATTAGTGTAAAAAACAGTGATAATTGTATAATAATAATGAAAAAATAACTATAGTTTTGGAGTCATATAGTTATTTTTAAGAAAAAAAAATGGTAAACAATATATATATTCATATTAAAATATGTAAAAGTATAAAAATCCAATTTGAGGACAGGAGTAAGTATAATTTACCTTGCAGTTGCAGGGTATGCACAACCAGCCAGGCCTGCAAAACAATAAAAATATACCAAAAATTGAATGAGATTAAAATGGGGGAAATATAAAATTAGGGTTTGTGGTATGAAAAATGGAGAAGAAAACTGACTAGGATCGGAGCTAGTGACGGTAGCAGTGCCGGCGAAATCACAGGCCATCGGAGTCTGGCGATACTTCTGGAAATAGCTATTGACGGCGTAGCTGCAGTGAGCCCTGACGGTATTCGGGTTGAAGCAGGGCCCGTTTTGGTGGGTCGGGTTGCAGTCCGCCCCGGCTCCGCATGCATAGTCCAGAGTCTTCTGCAAAACGGAGTCGCTCAAGCCGTCCTTGCAGATGCACCACGTGGCACCTGCACGCGCAAATCAACGGCCAGGATTAATTTCATCTGCTCTAGGTTTAGTTCTCCGGCGAGTGGAGTGGCAGGAAATTGCAGGAAACAAAAACGTTTAGCCCTAAATTGAAATAAAATCAGCAGACGGGCGACGGCGCCACCACATTTCGCCGGCCGGTAAATTGGTTTTAGTAGGGAAGAATAAAAGGCGTACCTGAACGACCAGCCATGGCTGAAAGGAGTAGCAGGAAGACGAGAACCGCCATGAGAAGGAAGGGTAGAGTTCAGCAAGAAGACGATGCGGAGTGTTGTTGCAGATAAACGGCGGTGTTCTTCAGCAGGAGAAGATTGGGAAGTGTGTTGAGAGAGAGAGAGAGAGACAGAGACACTTATCCTTTGTTTTGTAGTTGTTTCAGGAAAGATATTCATCAATTCATTCACTGCTGTTATCAATTTATCAATTTTTTACTTTATTCAAACTATGTATTTTTTATATCAAAAAATATATCCCGTCCGCCTACACATAAAGTAAATATTTATTTTTGGTGTGATATTTAAAAAATAATAGTATTTTAATTATAGTGAATAATTAAAAGTAGTAAATTGATATTTTTGCCTTTTTTTAGTATAAAAATAATAATGTGATGTAAAGTAAGAATATTTGTGAAGAAAATGGAGGTATTTAATGAAATATTTACTTTATATCCCAAAATAGAAATATATATACTTTTTAGCTGGACCGATAGAGTATTTTTAAAACAAAAAATTATTGTGTCTCCCTCCTATAGCATTTTATCATCATCCGATATTTGTATTTTTAAAACAAAAAAAAAAAAAAAAAATTATAAATTATAAACAAAAATAAAAAAAATAAAAAAATTAAATACATGTGGCAGATGGTGATAAGTCGATTCGGAAGAGATACGATACATTGAGATAGAATAACTAAACTGAAAAGAATATACTCTCTCTATATAAAAATATTTATATAAAATAATGAAGTAATAATTATAAAAAAAATAAAAAAAAAATTATGTACTAAACGTACAAAAATAGAGAATGTATAAGCTAAGGTAGGGGAAAGGAAATATATATAATTAAGAGGTGTTTGGAAACAATTTTTTTTTTAAATTTAATTTATTAAATAATTTTTAGTTGTTTGATGAATTAAATAGTTAATTTAGATGTTTGGTGAATTAATTTTTTGAAAGAATTTTTTTTAAAAAAAAAATTATACATTTTAATTTTATTTTAAATTTTTTAATTTTTAAATTTTAATTAAATTAATTAATTATTTTTAATTTAATTTATAATTATTATTATATAATAATTAATTTCATTGATATATTTTAATTATTTTATTAGTCTCTTACAAATTTTTGTTTTCAGTAAAATGAACCGAAACAAAAAGAGTATTTTATATTCAATCCTTGACTTTTTATAAGCATATAAATATATACGATAGTGTTTTAATGTGTATAAATTATTTTAATAATATTTATCAGTATCGTTGTATTAAAAATACTATGTGAACTAACTTATATTTATTTTAAATAAAATAATTAAAATTATATTATCTTTGTTTCATTTATCATATTTATATTTCTATTTTTATACGTTTTTTTATATTTTTTTATGAAAATAATTATACATTTTAATTTAATTTTAATTTTTTTTATTGATAATAATTTTGATTTTAATTGAACTAATTAAATATTTTAATTTATAATTATTTTTATTAAATATATTATTAATTATTTATTAATTATATTCTTTTTAAATTTTAATATTCATAATAAAAGCAGATATAATATCCGGAAAAAAAGAGTATCAATTAAACTATCATATTAATATTTATTTATATAATATTAAATTAAATTTTTAATTTTAATTTTTATTATTTAAAATATAAACTCCCACCAAAGCACAACCTAGATATGAGAGAATATTATTTTAATAAAAAGTGGGGCATAACATGATGACTTTTAATAACAATCATTCATTAACTTTATTAATTTTTTAGAAAAAAAAAAAATCAATAAAAATAATTTAAATATATTTTCAATATTAGAGAGTGTAGTTTTCTTCCTCTTTATGCTATGTTTAATAATTCTTTGATTTTAATTTATATATTATATAATTTTAAATTCTTATAAAAAAATATAAATATTCATATAATTATTGAAACAATAAAACTTAATGAAAAGATAAATAAACAAACCAATTGATCAAAATATATTAAGGATACATAAGTCTTTTCGCATTACTAAAGCTCTATTAATTTGGGAGTTTTTTTTTCTATGAGTGTTTGTTTGGGATTGAATTTTGAATTGGAATTTGAATAATAAAAATTTTGAATTTGAATAGTTGTACGATGTGATATAAATAGGGGTTGATACGATGTTTTGAATGTAAAATTGATTTTTAGTATAATATAAAAAATAAAAAAATATGTGTTTAATTTAATATTTTTTGAAAAAAAAAAGAGATGAATAGTAAAAATTAAATCCAATCTCCCAAACAAACAAACCCTAAGAAAATTAACTATACTGATTTAGTTTTCTTTAAAAAATAAAATAAAACTATATTCCGTGTACATTAATAATGTTTTCATTTGTTTTTAATATTTTATTGAATTATAGTATCAAAATATAAAGATAATTTTATTTTTATTTTTTGGTGTAAAAATAATAATATGATATAAAATAAGAATATTTTTGTATTTATGTAAATATCATTTTAAATTATTATTTCAAACTAAATGTAAAATTAGAATACAAATCCAGTGTAAAAATAAAACAAAAGCAAGTAAATTTGAAGGTTTTTGACCCATATTTGTATTATTTATTATTTTTTAAATGTCAAATTAAATATTTATATTTTTTATTATATTAAAATATTACATTAATATATATATTGTTAATCAATTATTTTAATTAAAAAATTTGTAACCCACTGAACTCATAGATAAATATATTAAGATAAAAAAAATAATCACAAATTAATTATTATTTTTTTACAACAACAGTAACATTATGAAATGTTAGAATGTAAAATAAAATTATTTATTTATAAATAAATAATTAATGGATAAAAAAAACAGTCATTGCATTGAATAAACATTATCCTTATATTTTAAATAAATAGTTATCTAAATATCCAATGAAGTAAGCGTTGTACTAATTTTAGTTGTTCATTCAAATTTATTTAATTATTGTTTATAATTTTTATTTTTTATTTTTTAATAATAGATAAATAAATATTTATACTATAAAAAATTTATTAAATCACAACAGATGAATACATAATTAATAATAAAAATTGAGTGTGAATTATAAATATAAAAAATTATTTAAAATAATAATATAAAATAGAATATTAAAATAGAATTTTTTTTTTTTTTTTTTTTTTTTTTTTTTTTTTTTTTTGCGGTTGGAGACAAAGTAAAAAGCATATGACAGTGTATCAGTGTATTGTGAATATATGTGGAGCAGAGGTCCAGGGACTATACAGGCACATTTCTCTCGGGTTCTCGTCGAGACTCGAGACTACTCTTTCTTTCGGGGACTGCGTTATAAAAAAAATAAAAACTTTTGCCCGTTTTTATGGCTACAATTTCAATAATTATTATTTTTATTTGTTATTAGTGAATCATATTTTTTTATATAATACTTTAAATTTTAAAGTATTATTTGAATAAAAAAATTAAAATAAAAACATAATTATCAAATAAACACAAGGGTGTGTTCCTTTGAAAAAGTTTGATTTAGATATTAATTAAATTTAAATTTTATATTAATTTAGAAAATTTGTTTTTCTTTAAATTAGTAGGTTTCTATTGAATTTTAAATTAATATATACTATTTGCCTTGTGGTGAAATATTAATAGGTGCAAATTAATATTAATCCAGTCAATGTAACCATAGCCATTAATTATTATAATTTTATTTTAAACTAATTAATATTTTTAATATATTACTCTTTTATTTCAACTGTATACTTTTTTTAATAAATTTAAAAAATAATTTCTTCGTCCCGGATACTATGTCCATTCTACTGTAAATGCGAAAATTTAGGAGCGGTATAATTAGTAAAAATAAAGAATATATTAGTGAAAATAATTAACGTATAATAAAAATAATTATAAATTAAGATTAAAATAACTAATTAGTTTAATTAAAATTTTAAAATTTTAAAATAAAATTAAAATGTATAATTCGTTTTCAAAAAAAAAAAAGAAAAATGACAAAATAAGTGAAAATAATTAACGTATAATAAAAATAATTATAAATTAAAATTAAAATAACTGATTAGTTTAATTAAAATTTTAAAAATTTAAAATAAAATTAAAATGTATAATTCATTTAAAAAAAATGATAAAATAAGTGAAAATAATTGACGTATAATAAAAATAATTATAAATTAGATTAAAATAACTAATTAATTTAATTAAAATTTAAAAAAATTAAAATAAAATTAAAATGTATAATTCGTTTTAAAAAAAAGGAAAAATGACAAAATAAGTGAAAATAATTAGTGAAAATAATTAACGTATAATAAAAGTAATTATAAATTAAGATTAAAATAACTAATTAGTTTAATTAAAATTTTAAAAATTTAAAATAAAATTAAAATGTATAATTCGTTTTCAAAAAAAAGAAAAATGAAAAAATAAGTGAGACGGATGAAAAATAAACATGGTAGGTGGGACATATGAAAATGAAAATATAGATATAGTAAGTGAGACGGAGGAAGTAATAATTTATTAATAAATTGTCTATGTAAAAATATTTTTGACAATTTTACTAAAATAACAATATATAAAATATGATGCTTGTAATTTTAATATTAGTACGAAAACGTTTTTATTATAATAATAATTTAGATGAGACAAATAAAAATAGTAAAATACTTTATTCGTTTTATTTAATTTGTCAAATTTTTTTATGCGGTCTCATATAATTTGTCATTTTCTGTTTTGAAAATATAATAATACATTTTAATTTCATTTTAAAATTCAAAATTTATAATTATTTTTTAATTAAACTATTTAATTATATTAATCTTAATATATAATTATTTTTATTAAATTTTAATTATTTTTATAATATATTTCTTAATTACTTACTAATTACACAATATCTATAAAATTTCGTACCTAAGCAAAATAGACAATTTAGTTGGGATAGAAGAAAAAATGATAAAGAAATTAAATGAGGGTATTATAGTGTTTTTACATAAATAGAGAGTGAAAAAGAATAAATTTGTAAAAATAGAGAGTAAAGAAGATAAAATTAATATATAGAGAGTAAATAAAAATATGAATATAAAATTAGACAGTTACATGAAAGTTTCCCTATAAAATTTAACAGTTGGGCTAGACAAATAAAAATAAAAAATATTTTATTTAATATGGGATGGAGAGTAAATTTTTATTTTTAATATTAAAAAAATATTATTTCCTACAAGCTTGAGATTTATGCCGACTGGTAGATTTTGGCTTGGCAATTTTTACATTATATTTTGGGATGTCAAAATTAAACTCGACTCGAAAAATCGAATTTGTTTCATTTGAAATTTTTAAAATTTGAGTTTGCAAAAAATCGGGTCAACTCGAATTCGAAATAAAAAAAATCTGTGTCGTGTTCGGTCGGGTTTCGGGTTGACATGATAACCTGAAATTTAAAAATTGGGTTGGGTTTTGGGTTTGTGTTTCGGATTGACCTGAAATTATGTATTATTATTAATTTAATTTATAATATTTATATTATTTTAAATATAAAATAATATAAAAGATTAAATAAAAATGATTTGTTTTAGGTTGATTTAATTTTTTTTTTTTAAAAAGTTTTTCAGTCTATTTCATGTCAGGTTTGTTCGGGTTTCAGGTGACCTGAAATTAAATCAGGTCAACCTGAACCCAATCTGAAAGAATTCGTATGGTGTTTGGATCCAGGGTTTTAGGTCAAATTTTGAGTTCGGATTGACAATTTTTATTTACTCCATGACTCGACCCGATATAAACACGATATGAAAATACGAATTGCCACCCTTATATCGAAAGAAAATTATCAATAAATAATAATAATAACTGTTAAAAATTCTGGTTTTTCAAAACCTAATTTAATTTGTCCTTTCATAATAAACAAAAATTGATCCACTCAACTGTTTATAAAAGTTGGGTTAAGACTTTGGGTGTGTTTTTATGGGGTTTGAATTTTAAGTTAGAATATGAATAGTAAAAATTTTGAATTTGAATAGTAGTATAACGTGATATAGGTATTGGTGTGATATTTTGAATATAAAATTGATTTTTAATATAATATAAAAAATAAAAAAAAGTGTTTAATTTAATATTTAAAAAAAAAAAAAAAAAAAAAAGGATGAACAGTGAATTGAAAATTCAATCCCCGACAAACATACCCTATCTTTATTTTACAAAAGGTAAAAGTAAATGATTGGTCAACAATTTTAATAGGGAATGAAATATATATATATATATATATAAAAAATAAATAAATAAACAAATGTTACCTTCTATTCATCGCTTGCTTTATGTCCTTTTATTAGCAGTATATTTTAATAAAATAATTAATATTTAAATATAAAATATAAAATTAAAAAAAAAGAAAAAATAAATTAATATTTACTTTAAATATGACAGGCACACTTTCTTCTGCTTTTTCGTAGCGTCTATGGAGAAATTTCCATTTTCTCGTTGCAGTGAAAAAACTTGACTCACGAGTCAACATTTATTTTTGCTTCTGCATTATTGCATTGGGGTTTTGCTGCTGCTGCTTCTTCTTCTTCTATTTCCTTTCAGATCTCATTAATTCTTCATTTACAGTTTCGAAATTGTATTTCTGCAGTAGTGCAATCTCCCCTTGAATTTCATTTGAGCCCAGGTAATCATCATCCTCCAACTCGACCTTTTTTGTTCTTTGTTTCTGTTGCGATCCTAAGGTCTTTCTCTAATGTGTGTATTTTATATTATCTTTTGATTTTGTTGAACATAGCATGTTTATTTCATGGCAAAAAATCGATTTTGGTCCAAATCTAATCAAAATTTATCAATTTTGGTCTCAATATAAAAAACTCAGCAATTTTAGTCCCAATATATACAATTTCAATTAAAAAATTAACGGAAATTGTTGACGTGCACATAACGGAGCTGACGTGTCAGTTGACCCGAAAAGTACACGGCCATGTTGTTATATGGCCATGTATATTTCAGTGTATAATTATACATGTTCATGTTATTACACGGCCGGCCATGCACAATTATACACGACCATGTTGTTACATGACCATGTATCTTTCAGTGTATAATTATATATGATCATGTTGTTATACGGCCATATATAATCCTATGCGGCCGTGTACCTTTCTGTTTCGGTCTAAAATTTTATTTTTTTTTACATTTTTAAATTTTTTTTTTTTTGAATTTAGAATAGTTGATATATTTAAAATGAAAAAAAAAATCAATAATAATCATAATATAATTAAAATGTTTCAATTTTAGTTCAAATATAAATATTTATCGAGTATGTTTTTTTGAAAGGTTTTGTCTAAATTGTTATTATTCATAAAAAAATTTCCTCTTATATTACACAACTATTTTTAAATTTTGTATATTATAGTAGTATTAAAAATTAATTTATTATTTCAATACAATAATTGGATGTTTGTAAGAGAAATTTATTTTATTTTTTTTTGCTAAATAGTAGAATTTTAGACAAAATCTTCCAAAATAACATACTCGATAAATATTTATATTTGAACTAAAATTGATACATTTAAATTATATTATGATTATTATTGATTTTTTTTTTCATTTTAACTATATCAACTATTCTAAATTCAAAAAAAATAAAATTAAAAAATATAACAAAAAAATAAAATTTTAGACCGAAACTGGAAGATACACGGCCATGTAGAATTATATATGGCCGTGTAACAACATGACCATGTATAATTATACACTGAAATATACAGGGCTATGTTACAACATGGTCGTGTATAATTGTACATGGCCGTATACTTTTCAGGTCAACTGCCACGTCAGCTCCGGTATGTCCACATCAGCAATTTCTGTTAGTTTTTTAACGGTGAGACCAAAATTGATTGAAATTGTTTATAATAGGACCAAAATTGATTGAAATTGTATATATTGGGACTAAAATCGATAAGTTTTTTTTTTTTTTATATTGGGATCAAAATTGATAAATTTTGATTATATTGAGACCAAAATTGATTTTTTCCCTTATTTTATTTATCAATTTATGCTTCCAATGACTTGTTCACAAATACCAAGTGCATGTATATTGTTATGAAAAGTAGTTTTAATTGTAATAGTAGCTTTAATCACGTTTCAAGAAAAAAATCAACTGATCCAACTCTTCTGTTAGCCTGATATTTTTTAATTCAACTCTACCATTTCCCGTGGCTAATATTTTCTACCAATCCACTGTTGAGGAATATGATGCTTTTTTGTACCGTAATATCGAATAATATTTGTTGATTATATGCTATCCATGTGTGTGTTTTTTGGGCAGGAAGCGTAAAGGATAAGATGGAGTTCATGTACAAGTTGGGCGAGACATTTTTGTCCAAGTTAGCAGAGAAGTTGGTCGACATTGCTCTGACCAAAAACGACAAGGCCACCTTGGAATCTCTTCGAATTAACATAAGGTTACTGCGCGCTAAAGCATCTGATGTCGAAGATGCAATCAAGAGGGATGAGCAGTCTGGGAAAAGGAAAAGGAAACGAGAAGTTGGCGATTGGTTAGAACAAGTTCAATCAATTGACAATGAACTTGGTATGTTGGAAAGTGAAATGCAAATGGAAGGCTTTGTGACTCAATTCTTTGGTGGAGGTCGAGCAGCAAAACTAGAAGCAAGAGTGCGCGAGCTGGTTGAGCAAAGGCAGCATTTTGGCGAGCTTGTAGTTGATGATTATGAGATCAAGGGAGACAAGTTTTGTGTTGAGGAGTTAGTAGGTGAGCAATTCAAGAAAAATTTGGAAACAATTTTGAGTTTCTTGTCGTCTGATGGGGTGTCGAGCATTGGGATTTATGGCATGGGGGGTGTCGGAAAAACAACACTTGCCAAGCATGTAAATAATTGTCTTCAAGAGCAAAGTGGCGAGCATGTTGTATGGATCACGATCTCTCAAGAGTTTACAATCTCAATGTTGCAAGAAGAAATAGCCAAATCCGTAGGCTACAGTCTCTTAGATGAGAGGAACGAAGATAAAAGAGCATCGCGATTGAATGCAATGCTATCCAAAGTAAAAAACCTTGTTATTATAATGGATGATGTTTGGAAGCATATTGATTTGAAAAAGTTGGGAGATCCTCTCTCTGTGGACGGATGTAAAATAGTGATAACGACTCGCTCAAAAAAAGTGTGTGATCAATTTGATTGCAACAAAATAATGAAGGTGGAGACGTTGCAAGAAAATGAAGCGTGGATCTTATTTAAAGATACACTTGGACAACATGTGAATCTAACTTCAGACGTCCTGGAAATCGCCAAGTGTATGGTGAAAGTATGTGACGGTTTGCCGTTGGGTGTTATCACCATAGCAGGAAGCATGAAGGGTGAGACTGAGGTTCATGTATGGAGTGATGCACTGGTGGAATTAAGGGCATCCATACTGGGGCAAGATGACATGGAAGAATATGTATTTAAAGTTCTCAAATATAGCTTTGACCGGTTGGATCGATGTGAAGGAAAGAGCAACGGGTATTCAAAGTTTCAACATTGTTTCCTATATTGCTCCTTATATCCAGAAGATTATAAGATACGGGAAAAGGATTTGATCCGATATTTTATTTTAGAGCAGTTCATGGACAAAAGAGATAGCAGGAAACAACTGTTTATCCAAGGTCGCGCCATAGTCGACAGATTGGTGAATGTTTGTTTACTAGAAAGAGTAGATTCAAACAGTGTGAAGATGCATGATTTGGTTAGAGCTATGGCACTAAAGATTGTGGAAAGAAAGACTGTGGTAATAGCCGGGCACTATTTATTGAAGGATATTCCGACTGAAGAAGAATGGGGCAATGACATTGAGAAGATGTCTTTGATGTATAACGACATAGGAACAATACCGGATGGATTGTCTCCAAACTGTCCTAAGTTATCAACATTACTTTTGGCGAAAAATAGTCACTTGCACATCATACCGAATTCATTCTTCTTACATATGTGCAGCCTGTCCATTCTTGATTTGTCTGAGACTGGTATTGAGAGGTTACCAGATTCTTTCTCAGACATGAAAAGCCTCAAAGGGTTGATCCTCGTGGATTGTTCTAAGCTCGAATGTTTGCCCTACTTGGGAAAACTGAAGAATTTGAGGGAATTGGATCTCACAAACACTGGAATACAACAAGTGCCTCAAGGGATGGAAGAATTATCCAATCTCAACTTTTTGTCATTTTATGGCACCCGCAGCTTGCAGATGTTACCAAGCTGTTTGGTATCGAAGTTCACGTATCTTCAAAGCCTTTATCTTCCTCATAAGATATATTCTCCAGTGGAAGAAATACATGAGTTGAAGCATGTGGAGGAGTTTAGAGGGAGACTGAAAGATGTTGATGATTATAATTTGTTGATGAGAAACAGGCCAGGTTTAGCTTACTCCATTGCTATAGGATCTGACAGTAATAATAATGCAGACTGGTGGGAGTATAATCACTTGGAGTTCCATGATTGTAACTTCGATTCAAGACAAGACAGAGACGTGACTACACCGGCCAGAGACGTCCAATATCTTCGATTGATCAAGTGTAAGGGGTTGAGCAAGTGTTTAGTGGAAGATCTCAAACGGGTTTTCATTAATCCCGCTTCAATAAAAAAGTTGGAAATTGGGGATTGTGATGGAATAGAGTGCCTTTGGAGGTTCGAACAATCGGCATCTTCATCATCAGCATCCATCTCATCACACGGCACTTTCTCATCACTTAACGACCTGCGTATTTATAGGTGCACCAAGATGAAGAAGCTCGGGCTACCAGCGTCGCATCTCCAGAACCTGAAAAATCTCACAATTGCTGATTGTGGAATGTTAGAAGAGATATTTGAAATGAAGCTGCAATTAGGAGAAGCATCCATGGTCTGCCAGCTCCCCAAACTAGAGTGTCTATATCTTCAAAATCTGCAGAATTTGAAGAGCATCTGCTATTCGACAACGGTCTGCTGCTGCTCGATTCGTGAAATTACATTGTATGAATGCACTGCATTGCACAAGTTTTCTTTGGTTTTCGGACAGCCATACGATGATGATGTGCCTACGGCAGCCATCGAAGCTATTCAGTTAATGAACATTGAGAAGAAATGGTGGGAGAAGTTGGAGTTGGGGCATCCCTCACACCATTCTCTCCTGCAACCATTCATTAAATGGCTATGAAGTTGAAGGCATAGTAGGTGGAATTACACGAACAGACTGAAGCTGGAGACTCCAAACTGTCTAAGAACATTCATTTTAAGGTTACATTAATATCTTTTCCACCTTTCTTTTTAGTTATACTTTACTTGAATATAAATGAATTTTTCTTTATTTCGATGAAAAATATTTTCCTTCAATATATATGTTAAGGCTCACTTTGTCCATTCGTAATTACCTGTTGTGACGGATTAGGATTAATAATTAAATAACAAACAGAAAATGTAAAGAAGACACAGATTTACATGGCTCACCAACAACATGTTGGGTACGTCTACGGACAAAAATGGAGAACAGATTTATTCACGACGGCAAGGTTACAAGTTACAGATTTCGTATCCCTAAGTCTATTTAAATAAACCAAGAGAATAGATCATACAGGCTCAAATACCAAATCCGAATTGTGTAACAACATTTAGTTTAAGGTTAAATAATCTTTGTGCGTTTATTTTTAGTTATATTTTGATTTAATGTAGATATATTTTTTTATATGTCTAAAAACATTTTCTTCAAGATTTATAGATCTTACTTTTACAATTTTAAGCCTTGTTGCCGCTTGTAATATTTATTTGTATTGATTGCCTTTTTGGATCAGTTCAATTTTATGAAGCTTGACATATCCTTTTGGTATGAATAGGATGGTCATGTGATTGTTAGAACATCACTAGGTTTGATTATATTAAGATTGATATAAAATGGTGTGCACAACTTTATGTTTGCGGCTGGGGTACTTTGATGGTTTGGATGTGAATATTCTTTAATCGAAATTATGTTTTGGATATAATGATTTAATGAAAAAGTAAGTGTTGGATATGGTATTTCCGATGACAATTAGGTTTTGGATGAGATGGTTTTTAGGTCTCGAGTTTGAGTCTTACTGTCCCTATTTGTTGTCGTCCACGGGCAAGTTTAGTTTGGTGGTGTTTATCCCCTGCCCTTGAAAGGGCGTATTAGTTGACTCTCATTTGTAGATAAATAAATAATATGATGTGTATCAGAGTTTTTAGGTGAGTCGATCATTTATTTCTGATATCAGAGCTTTAAGTTTCGAGTTTCGCTTGGCTCAATTAAAAAGTTGCAAGCCATCACCTCCCGTCTTAATGATATGGAAATCCACGGTCGCTATCTTAATGAGAAAAACTCTAGGAATGAGCAATAACCTACATACTACATAATCTAGATAAGCCACACCAGACAAGTCCTGTGTGGCAGGCTTGATCCATTACACTAATTCCGACCACTCCTTACTAGTCAAATGTCTCCTAATTACAGGGTTGGAGTGTGTTTTTGATCTTATTTTGTTTCTTTAACCTTGTATATATATATATATATATAAATAATTAAATTTAAAATTAATAATATTAATAGAGTTGAATTGCTCATATACAGGATAAAACAATCTGCATATGCACATTTTATCATCCTCAAAAGAGATTTTGCTGATAAGGTAAGGCAACTTGATGACATTTCAAAAATACATAGATAAGAAATTTTGCTATAAGAGATGGATCACTTTTGAAAGTGAAATATATACATATATATGCTATTATTTACATCATAAGTTGCAGTAAGAAAAATACACTCTCAAATAAATATATTCCTATTGATAGTGATTCGGTGGATAGCAGCTGGTTTTGTTAATTTTATTATTATTATTATTTTCTAAAAAGAAAAAAGACTTTATCACATCGTAAAGAGTTGACTTGACATGAGAATCTACTCTACTCATCAGTTGCTTCTGTTCTTGTATTATTGGGGGTTGGCTGCTTCTTCCTTTCCAGATCTCATTTGAAATTGTACTTTGCAGGCTAGATTCAAGTTCGATCGATCTTCTTCATTTGCATTTGAGGTTGGGGTGATTGTTCTCCATCTCAGACTTTATTGTTCTTTGTTTCTGATGCTTTTTTTTGGGGGGGGGGGTAAATAACATCTAACTTTAAAGCTTTAGATTTATATGCCATGGATTTGTTATTTGTTAATAGTATTTAATCATGTTTCAAGAAAAAGCAATTGAATAACTCTCCTCGGCTCATATATATTAGATCAACAGATCAAACTACTCCTTTTGGAAAAACATAGCTGCTGCTCTATGGATCTAATTTTTATTTTTCTTCCTACATCACATTTAGATAAGGTGTAGAACTTTTTGATCCCATCTTAAATGTGAGACAAGATCATAATTGCTCAATAATGCATATTAATGTGCAACTAGACCACTACTTATGCACAAGTTACAAATTAATTTCGACCAGTCTATTGCTCTAAGGTTGAAAAAATCGTTGATTTATGCAATCTATTTGTGCATGTTTTAGGCAGGAAGTGTGAAGGATAAGATGAATTTATTGTTGTATAAGTTGGGGGAGACATTTTTGTCCAAGTTAGCAGAGAAGTTGGTGGATATTGCACTGAGCAAAAAAGACGAGGCCACTTTTGATTCTCTGCAAACTAACATGAGGTTACTGCGCGCTAAAGCATCTGATGTCGAAGATGGAATCAAGAGGGATGAGCAATCTGGGAAAAGGAAAAGGAAACGAGAAGTTGGCGATTGGTTAGAACAAGTTCAATCAATTGACAATGAACTTGGTATGTTGGAAAGTGAAATGCGAATGGAAGGCTTTGTGACTCAATTCTTTGGTGGAGGTCTAGCAGCAAAAGTAGAAGCAAGAGTGCGTGAGTTGGTTGAGCAAAGACAACATTTTGGGGAGCTTGTACTTGAAGATTGCAACATCAGAGGAGACAAGTTTAGGATTGGGGATTTAGTAGGTGAGCAATTCAAGAAAAATTTGGAAATAATTTTGAGTTTCTTGTCGTCTGATGGGGTGTCGAGCATTGGGATTTATGGCATGGGGGGTGTCGGAAAAACAACACTTGCCAAGCATGTAAATAATTGTCTTCAAGAGCAAAGTGGCAAGCGTGTTGTATGGATCACTATCTCTCAAGAGTTTACAATCTCAATGTTGCAAGAAGAAATAGCCAAATCCGTAGGCTACAGTCTCTTAGATGAGAGGAACGAAGATAAAAGAGCATCGCGATTGAATGCAATGCTATCCAAAGTAAAAAACCTTGTTATTATAATGGATGATGTTTGGAAGCATATTGATTTGAAAAAGTTGGGAGATCCTCTCTCTGTGGACCGATGTAAAATAGTGATAACGACTCGCTCAAAAAAAGTGTGTGATCAATTTGATTGCAACAAAATAATGAAGGTGGAGACGTTGCAAGAAAATGAAGCGTGGATCTTATTTAAAGATACACTTGGACAACATGTGAATCTAACTTCAGACGTCCTGGAAATCGCCAAGTGTATGGTGAAAGTATGTGACGGTTTGCCGTTGGGTGTTATCACCATAGCAGGAAGCATGAAGGGTGAGACTGAGGTTCATGTATGGAGTGATGCACTGGTGGAATTAAGGGCATCCATACTGGGGCAAGATGACATGGAAGAATATGTGTTTAAAGTTCTCAAATATAGCTTTGACCGGTTGGATCGATGTGAAAGAAAGAATAAATTGTATTCAAAGTTTCGACATTGTTTCCTATATTGCTCCTTATATCCAGAAGATTATAAGATACAGGAAAAGGATTTGATCCGATATTTTATTTTAGAGGAGTTCATGGACAAAAGAGATAGTAGGAAACAACTGTTTATCCAAGGTCGCGCCATAGTCGACAGATTGGTGAATGTTTGTTTACTAGAAAGAGTAAGTCCTGGAGTAGTTAAGATGCACGATTTAGTAAGAGCTATGGCATTAAAAATTTCTGAAGGTAAGACTTTGGTAATAGCCGGGCAATGCTCCTTGAAGGATATTCCAACTGAAGAAGAATGGGGCAATGACATTGAGAAGATGTCGTTGATGTGTAATGGCATAAGAGCAATATCGGATGGATTGTCTCCAAACTGTCCCAAGTTGACGACATTACATTTGGTGGATAATCATTTCTTGGATTTTATCCCAAGTTCATTCTTTTTGCATATGTCCACTCTATCCATTCTTAACTTGTCCGGGACTAGCATCAAGAAGTTACCAAATTCTATCTCAGACATGAAAAGCCTCAAAGGGTTGATCCTTACACGTTGTTCTAACCTTGCATATATTCCCAATATCGGAAAACTGAAGATTTTGAGGGAGTTGGATCTCACAAGCACTGGAATACAACAAGTGCCTCAAGGGATGGAAGAATTATCCAATCTCAACTTTTTGTCATTTTATAACGTCTACAGGTTGAAAATGTCGCCGAGCTGTATGGTATCGAAGTTTCTATATCTTAAATGTCTCTATCTTCCATGGGATCAATATGTTCCAGTGGAAGAAATACTGCAGCTGAAGCATTTGGAGGAGTTTCGAGGAAGATTGAAGGATGTTTGTGATTATAATTTGTTGATGAGAAATAGGCCTGGTTTAGCATACTCCATCTTTATAGGATCATTGATGTATTTTGGCCAGTTTGTCGGCTTTTATAATCAGGTTGAGTTCCATGATTATGACTTCGATTCGAGTAAGGACAAAGACGCGACTACAATGGCTGGAGACATCCAACATCTCGGATTTACTAAGTGTAAGGGGTTGAGCAAGTGTTTAGCTGATGCTCTCAAACAGGTTTTCAAAAATCCCACTTCAATAGAAAACTTGACAATTGAGGAGTGTGATGAAATAGAGTCCCTTTCAAGGATCGAACAATCCATGTCATCACATGTCCTTTTCTCGTCATTAAAGAAGCTGGATATTGATAGTTGCAACAATATGAAGAAGCTCGGGCTACCAGCAGTGCATCTCAAGAACTTGGAATTTCTCAGTATTGCTGGCTGTGAAATGATTGAAGAGATATTTGAAATGAAGCTGCAATTCGGAGAAGCATCTATGGTTTTCCAGCTCCCCAAATTAGAGTATCTACGTCTTCATAATCTGCCAAAATTGAAGAGCATCTGCCATACAACGACAATCTGCAGTTCAATTTATTACATCACATTGGAAAATTGTCCAGCATTACACAAGTTTTGTTTGGCTTTCGGACAGCCTAGTGATGATGATGATATTGCTCCACCAACAGCTCTCAAGGAAATTGAATTACTGAATAGTGAGAAGGAATGGTGGGAGAAGTTGGAGTTGGGGCATCCCTCGCACCATTCTCTGCTACAGCCATTCATTCGATGGAGATGAACAAACTGAAGCTGCGAACTCCGAACTGTGTAAGAACATTTAGTTCATTAAGGTTAAATAAACCTTTGCGCGTTTATATTTAGTTATACTTTAATCAAATGTAACTAATTCTTTTTACTTGTCTAAGAAATATTTTCTTCAAGATTTATAGAGAAAATTACAAAAAATATTCTTTATGTATATCCCATTATCACTTTTATCTTGGATTTATGTCGCCAACACGTGCGGCCAAAGGATATAAAATAGCTTCTTTTGCAAACATGTGAGACATATTATGTCAGCGACATAAATTCAGGATAAAAGTGATAATAAAGTATACATGGAGGATATTTTTTGCAATTTTCCCAAGATTGATAGATCTCACTTTTACAATTTTAAGCCTTATTGCCACTTGTAATATTTATTTGTATTGACTGCTTTTTTCTACCAGTTCAATTTCACAAATTTTGACATGCCCTTTAGGGATGAGATGGTTTTTAGGTCTCGAGTTCGAGTCTTACCGTCCCTATTTGTTGTCGTCCACGGACAAGTTTAGTTTGGTGGCGTTTATCCCCTGCCCTTGAAGGGGCGTGTTGGTTGACTCTCATTTGTAGATAAATAAATAATATGATGTATATCAGAGATTTTAGGTGAGTCGATCATTTATTTAATCGTGTTGGTTGACTCTCATTTGTAGATAAATAAATAATATGATGTATATCAGAGATTTAAGGTGAGTCGATCATTTATTTAATCTAATATGATATCAAAGCTTTAAGTTTCGAATTTCGCTTGGCTCAATTAAAAAGTTGCAAGCCATCACCTCCCATCTTAATGATATGGAAATCCACGGTCGCTATCTTAACGAGAAAAACTCTAGGAATGAACGCAATAACCTACATACTACATAATCTAGATAAGCCACACCAGACAAGTCCTGTGTGGCAGGCTTGATCCATTACACTAATTCCGACCACTCCTTACTAGTCAAATGCCTCCTACTTACAGGGCTGGAGTGTGTGTTTGTGATCTTATTTTTGTCTCTTTAACCTTATATATATATATATTAAAAATATTAAAGTTAAAATTAATAATATTAATAGGGTTGAATTGCTCATATACAAGACAAAACAATCTGCATATGCACATTTTATCATCCTCAAAAGAGATTTTGCTAATAAGGTAAGGCAACTTGAAGACATTTTAAAAATGCATAGATAAGAAATTTTGCTATAAGAGATGGAACACTTTGAAAGTGAAATATATACATATATATGCTATTATTTACATCATAAGTTGCAGTAAGAAAAATACACTCAAATAAATATATTCCTATTGATAGTGATTCGGTGGATAGCAGCTGGTTTTGTTATTGTTATTATTATTATTATTATTTTCTAAAAGAAAGAAAGACTTCATCACATTGTAAAGAGTTGACTTGACATGAGAGTCTACTCTACTCATCAGTTGCTTCTGTTCTTGTATTATTGGGGGTTGGCTGCTTCTTCCTTTCCAATCTCATTTGAAATTGTACTTTGCAGGCTAGATTCAAGTTCGATCGATCTTCTTCATTTCCATTTGAGGTTGAGGTGATCGTTCTCCATCTCAGACTTTATTGTTCTTTGTTTCTGATGCTTTTTTTTGTTTTTGGTAAATAACATCTAACTTTAAAGCTTTAGATTTATGCCATGGATTTTTTATTTGTCAAGAGCATGGATTTATTATTTGTCAAGAGTATTTAATCATGTTTCTATAAAAAGCAAATGAATAACTCTCCTCTGCTCATATATATTAGATCAACAGATCAAACTACTCTTTGTACAAAAACATATAGCTGCTGCTCTATGGATCTAACTTTTATTTTTCTTCATACATCACATAAGATGAGGTGTGGAAATTTTTAGATCCCATGTTAAATAAGAGACAAGATCATATTGCTCAATAATTCATATTAATGTGCAACTAGACCACTGCTTATGCATAAGTTACAAATTCATTTTGAACAGTCTATCGCTCTAAGGTTAAAAAAAATTGTTGATTTATGCTATTTATTTGTGCATGTTTTTGGCGGGAAGTGTGAAGGATAAGATGACGTTATTGTTGTATAAGTTGGGGGAGACATTTTTGTCCAAGTTAGCAGAGAAGTTGGTGGATATTGCACTGAGCAAAAAAGACGAGGCCACTTTCGAATCTCTGCAAACTAACATGAGGTTACTGCGTGCTAAAGCATCTGATGTCGAAGATGCAATCAAGAGGGATGAGCAATCCGGAAAAAGGAAAAGGAAAAGGAAAAGAGAAGTTGGAGATTGGTTAGAACAAGTTCAATCAATTGACAATGAACTTGGTATATTGGAAAATGAAATGCGAATGGAAGGCTTTGTGACACAATTCTTTGGTGGAGGTCGAGCTGCAAAACTAGAAGCAAGAATGCGCGAGCTGGTAGAGCAAAGGCAGCATTTTGGCGAGCTTGTAGTTGATGATTATGAGATCAAGGGAGACAAGTTTTGTGTTGGGGAGTTAGTAGGTAAGCAATTCAAGAAAAATTTGGAAACAATTTTGAGTTTCCTGTCGTCTGATGGGGTGTCGAGCATTGGGATTTATGGCATGGGGGGTGTTGGTAAAACAACACTTGCCAAGAATGTAAATAATCATCTCCAAGTACAAAGAAGCGTGCATGTTGTATGGATCACGGTGTCTCAAGAGTTTACAATTTCGATTTTGCAAGATGAAATAGCTAAATCCATCGGCCATCGTCTCTTAAACGAGAGGAATGAAGATAAAAGAGCATCTCAATTGAATGCAATGCTATCCAAAATAAACAATCTTGTTATTATATTTGATGATGTTTGGAAGTATATTGATTTGAAAAAGTTGGGAGATCCGCTCTCTCTGAATGGATGTAAAATAGTGATAACTTCTCGCTCAAAAAAAGTGTGCGATCAATTGGATTGCAACAAAATAATGAAGGTGGAGACGCTGCAAGAAAATGAAGCGTGGTTTTTATTCAAAGATACACTTGGGCGAGATGTGAAGTTAACTTTGGAAGTCCAAGAAATTGCCAAGTGTATGGTTAAAGTATGTGATGGTCTGCCGCTAGGTGTTATCACTATTGCAGGAAGCATGAAGGGTGAGACTGAGGTTCATGTATGGAGTGATGCATTGGCAGAATTGAGGGCATCCATCATGGGGCAAGACGACATGGAAGAGCATGTGTTTAAAGTTCTTAAATATAGCTTTGACCGATTGGATCAATGCGAAGGAAAGAATAAAGGGTATTCGAAGTTTCAACACTGTTTCCTATATTGCTCCTTATATCCAGAAGATTGGAATATAGAGGAAGAGCATTTGATCCGATATTTTATTTTAGAGGAGTTTATGGAAAAAAGAGATAAAAGGAAAGAACTCTTTAACCAAGGTCGCACCATAGTCAACAGATTAGTGAATGTTTGCTTACTAGAAAGAGTAAGCCACAGAGTAGTAAAGATGCATGATTTAATGAGAGCTATGGCATTAAAGATTGCTGAAGGTAAGACCATGGTAATATCGGGGCACTATTCCTTGAAGACTATTCCGACTGAAGAAGTATGGGGCAATGACCTCGAGAAGATGTCTTTGATGCGTAATGGCATAAGTAAAATACCAGATGCATTGTCTCCAAGCTATCACAAGTTGTCAACATTACTTTTGGCCGAAAATTTTTCCCTGGACTACATACCAAATTCATTCTTCCTGCAAATGTGCAGCCTATTCATCCTTGATTTGTCGGGGACTAGGATCAAGATGTTACCAAATTCTGTCTCAGACATTACAAGCCTTAAAGGGTTGATCCTTGCAAGTTGTTCTAAACTCGAATATTTGCCTTACTTGGGAAAACTCAAGAATTTGAAGGAGTTGGATCTCTCATTCAGTGGAATACAAGAAATTCCTCAAGGCGTGGAAGAATTATTGGATCTCAATTTTTTGTCATTTAATGGCACCCGCCACTTGAAAAAGCTACCAAGTTGTTTGGTATCCAAGTTTACATATCTTCAATGTCTCTACCTTCCACGCGATAAATACGTTCCAGTGGAAGAAATACTGAAGCTAAAGCAGTTGGAGGAGTTTCGAGGGATATTGAAAGATGTTTATGATTATAATTTGTTGATGAGAAATAGGCCAGATTTAGCTTACTCCATCAGTATAGGATCGGTTTGTATTGATCCGTGGGGCTTTTATAATCGGTTGGAGTTACGGCATTGTGACCTTCATTCAAGTAAGGACAAAGACGTGACTATACTGGCCGGAGACATCCAACATCTACGATTGATCAAGTGTAAGGGGTTGAGCAAGTGTTTAGTGGAAGATCTCAGGCTGGTTTTCAATAATCCCACTTCAATAGAAAGCTTGGAAATTGAGGATTGTGAAGAAATAGAGTGCCTTTCGAGGATCGAACAATCCACATTTACATCAGCATCCATATCATCACACATCCATTTCTGGTCACTTATCCAGCTGAGGATTTATAAGTGCAACAAGGTGAAGAAGCTCGGGGTACCAGCATCGGATCTCCAGACCTTGAAATTTCTCAGAATTGCTGATTGTGAAATGATAGAAGAGATATTTGAAATGAAGCAAGGCACCGGCAGAGGAGGAGAATCCAGAGAAGCATCTACGGCCTGCCAGCTCCCCAAACTAGAGTCTTTACAACTTCAAAATCTACCAGATTTGAAGAGCATCTGCCACACAACAACAGTCTGCAGTTCGATTAGTCATATCACTTTACAAAAATGCCGAGCATTGCTTAAGTTTTCTTTGGTTTTCGGACAGCCAAGTGATGATTATGACGATGATATGGCTCCAACAGCCCTCAAAGAAATTGAATTATTGAAGAGTGAGAAGGAATGGTGGGAGAAGTTGGAGTTGGGGCATCCCTCACACCATTCTCTCCTACAACCATTTATTCAATGGAACTGAAGCCATAATCAGGTGGAATCACATGAAGAGACCCCAAACTGTGTTAGAACATACATTTAATTCAAGGTTGAGTTTCTTTTGTGTATTTATATTTAGTTTCAATTCAATATGAATGATTTATTTTGAGCCAAATTCCGAAAATTCTTTGCATATACTTTTTTTGAGCCGTCATTCAACTCCAAGTTTTCATTTGACATCATCGCTGTGTTTGCAGGCTGGCATTTCTCCATATCAAATTTTTTAAAGGTAGATTTTCAACATATTTTTCTTGTGAAAGAAATATTTCTCTTTTGGTTTGTTGAACTTGGATGCTGAGAAAATATTTCGTTAACTCAAGATCAGTCAAGAAATGAGCACCGTGTACGGCCGACTAATGACCTATATCTTGGTGCAGGTACGTGTTCTGCATGATTTCTCAATACTGTATGGTATATCCCGGGCGTGTTGGGCACAGAGGATGGCTGGTCTAGGCCTCAGCGTGGGCTTGGCCTAGGGGTCGGGCGTGTCAGCTTTCGGACACGTTACATATGGTATCAGAGCCGACCTTGGCGTTGGTGACGAACGAAGCGACAAAGTGGGCATATCTCGAGTCAAGGAGCATGTCAGTGGACACGTCAAGGATGATCAAGAGGATCATGTCCTAAGGAAACTGGACAGTCCGACGTTGCCGAGCACGTCAAGGAAGAGCATGTCCTAAGATAACTGGACATCCCAAGGAGGGGGAGTATACTCGACGTTGCTGAAAAGGCCAAGAGGGCCGAGCTTTGTTCATGAGGGAAAAACCAGTACTCGGGCGAAAATCACACAAGCCGCAAAAAGGATGTCTCGAATGGTGTGTGGAGATGCGTAGCGGAAGTTGGGTCGCACATGGATTATGGCAAAAGACCTCGCTGGCTGTTGGTGAGCACCAAAAGAATGGTATGCAGGAAAAGGTTCGGCGGAGGCATACCGAGGGTGCAAGAAACAACGTTAGTGCACTCAAGTAGCGTCGCACGAGGGCGTTTACGACTGACCTGAAGTGGGGGAGTTTGTCATGAGCTGACATTCCTGTCCCTGGTTCTCGGCCATAGTTCGTCCCATGTGTGCGAGCCCCTGTCCTGTACGACCGACTAATGACCCATATCTTGGTGCAGGTACGTGTGTTCCGCATGATTCTCCCATAGTATATGGTGCGCACAAGACTCTCTGGGCCTCAGCGCGGGCGTGGCCTAGGCGCCGGATGTGTCAGCTTTTGGACACGTTACAACCGTCTCTTTTGATGTATAGGGCAGCCTCATTTGGACTCCGTTTGAAACTATTGCGAAGAAATGAGTGGCCGAGGAGAATTCAGTCGAGCATCTTTGGTCGGCCTCCCCAAACTAGAGGATCTTAAGTCTTCAAAATCTGGTCGGCCTCCCCAAACTAGAGGATCTAAGTCTTCAAAATCTACCAAAATTGAAGACCATCTTCCTTACAACAACAGTCTGCGGTTCGATTAATTGTATCACGTCGGGAAAATACCGAGCTTTGCAGGTTTTTGGAAAGCCAAGCGATGATGATGATGATGACGATGATATGCCTCCAACAGGTTTCGAAAAATTTTGCTTAATGGATAATGAGAGGAATGGTGGGAGAAGTTGGAATTGGGACATCCCTAAACCATTATCTGCTACAACCATTTATTGTATGGCTTTGAAGCCATAGCCAGGTGTAGGGATGACAATGGGTTCGGACAGAACGAGACCTGACTACGGAACCGACCCATTTATTTAGGATTGGGTTCAATTATTCGGATATTGGATCCAGATTCGGGTATCTTATATCCTTATCAGGTCCAGGTCGGGTCTTGGGTCCAAGGGTGGATCCTACTAATATATTAATTATATATATATAAAAAAAAAATATTTTTAATAATATAAATTATATTAAAAATATGTTTTTACTTTAATTTATTTATTTTTATTATTTTATTATAATATTTTTAAATAAGATATATCACTTTTAATGTATGCCGGGTCCGGATCAGAGTTCGAGTCCAATTATTAATGAAAATTCAAATAGTCTTTTAACATTAATAATATTTTATATTATATAATTCTAATAACAAGAGAAAGATTAATAGTCCTTACTTACTACTATTATATTTAACTTTTACTTTGTTTTGGATATAATAATATATAGTAAATATATACTAAATTTGTTATCCACCGTAATCATCCAAAAGTAAAAGTATCGCCGCCAAATATTCAATTTCCATATCTTCAATGTCTTTATCTTCCATGGGATCAATATGTTCCAGTGGAAGAAATACTGCAGCTGAAGCATTTGGAGGAGTTTCCTGGGAAATTGAAGGATGTTTGTGATTATAATTTGTTGATGAGAAACAAGCCTGGTTTAGAATACTCCATCTTTATAGGATCATTGATGTATTTTGGCCAGTTTGTCGGCTTTTATAATCAGGTTGAGTTCCATGATTATGACTTCGATTCGAGTAAGGACAAAGATGCGACTACAATGGCTGGAGACATCCAACATCTCGGATTTACTAAGTTTAAGGGGTTGAGCAAGTGTTTGGCTGATGCTCTCAAACAGGTTTTCAAAAATCCCACTTCAATAGGAAACTTGACAATTGAGGAGTGTGATGAAATAGAGTCCCTTTCAAGGATCGAACAGTCCATGTCATCACACGTCTTTTTCTCGTCATTAAAGAAGCTGGATATTGATAGTTGCAACGATATGAAGAAGCTCGGGCTACCAGCAGTGCATCTCCAGAACCTGGAATTTCTCAGTATTGTTGGTTGTGAAATGATTGAAGAGATATTTGAAATGAAGCTGCAATTCGGAGAAGCATCTATGGTTTTCCAGCTCCCCAAATTAGAGTATCTACGTCTTCATAATCTGCCAAAATTGAAGAGCATCTGCCATACAACGACAATCTGCAGTTCAATTTATTACATCACATTGGAAAATTGTCCAGCATTACACAAGTTTTGTTTGGCTTTCGGACAGCCGAGTGATGATGATGATATTGCTCCACCAACAGCTCTCAAGGAAATTGAATTACTGAATAGTGAGAAGGAATGGTGGGAGAAGTTGGAGTTGGGGCATCCCTCGCACCATTCTCTCCTACAGCCATTCATTCGATGGAGATGAACAAACTGAAGCTGCGAACTCCAACCTGTGTTAAAAAAAAAATAAAAACCTGTGTAAGAACATTTAGTTAATTAAGGTTGAATAAACCTTTGTGCGGTTATTTTTAGTTATACTTTAATCTAATGTAACACATTTCGTTTACTTGTCTATAAAATATTTTCTAAGAGAAAATTGCAAAAAATATCCCTTATGTATACCCTATTTTCACTTTTTGTTCCATATCTCGGCAAAATATATCATATATGTTTGCAAAAGTTAACATCACGCGCGGTCAAATGATATAAATATCGATTTTTGCAAACATGTAGAATATATAATTCGGGATAAAAGTGATAATGAGGTGTAGATGGAAGATATTTTTTGCAATTTTCTAAGATTGATGGATCATCTCACTTTTACGGTTTTAAGCCTTGTTGCCGCTTGTAATATTTATTTGTATTGATTGCTTTTTTTGATCAGTTCAATTTTACGAAGCTTGACATGCCCTTTTGGGATGAGGAGGATGGTCATGTGATTGTTAGAACATCACTAGGTTTGATAATATTAAGATTGATATAAAATGGTGTGCACAACTTACTTTATGTTTGCGGCTGAGTAGTTCGTTGTTTTGGATGTGAATATTCTTTAATTGAAATTATGATTTTAGATATAATGGTTTAAATAAAAAATAAGTGTTGGATATGATATTTCTGATGAAAATTATATTTTGAATGAAATAGTTTTTAATTCTTGAGTTCGAGTCTCACCGTCCCAGTTTGTTGTCGTTTATGGCCAAGTTTAGTTTGGTGGCATTTATCCTTTGCCATAAAACGTGTTGGTTAACTTTCATTTGTACATAAATAAATAAATAATGCAAATCAGAACTTTTAGGTGAGCCATCATTTATTTCATCTAATTTATTTCATCTAATATGGTATCAGAGCTTTAAATCTCAAGTTCCGGTAGGCTCAATAAAAAAGTTGCAAGCCATCACCTCCAGTCTTAATGATATGGAAACCCAAAGTTCTATCTTCACTAGAAAAACTTAGGAATGAACGCAATAACCTACATACTACGTAATCTAGATAAGCCACACCAGACAAGTCCTGTGTGGCAGGCTTGATCCATTACACTAATTCCGACCACTCCTTACTAGTCAAATGCCTCCTAATTACAGGGCTGGAGTGTGTGTTTGTGATCTTATTTTTGTCTCTTTAACCATATATATATATATATATATATTCAAAATATTAAGTTAAAATTAATAATATTAGTAGGGTTAAATTGCTCATATACAGGATAAAACAATCTGCATATGCACATTTTATCATCCTCAAAAGGGATTTTGCTGCTAAGGTAAGGCAACTTGATGACATTTTAAAAATACATAGATAAGAAATTTTGCTAGAAGAGATGGACCACTTTGAAAGTGAAATATATATATATATATATACACTATTACTTACATCATAAGTTGCAGTAAGAAAAAACACTCTCAAATAAATATATTCCTATTGATAGTGATTAGGTGGATAGCAGCTGGTTTTGTTATTGTTATTATTATTATTATTTTCTTAAAAAAAAAAGACTTTATCACATTGTAAAGAGTTGACTTGACATGAGAGTCTACTCTACTCATCAGTTGCTTCTGTTCTTGTATTATTGGGGGTTGGCTGCTTCTTCCTTTCCAGATCTCATTTGAAATTGTACTTTGCAGGCTAGATTCAAGTTCGATCGATCTTCTTCATTTCCATTTGAGGTTGAGGTGATCGTTCTCCATCTCAGACTTTATTGTTCTTTGTTCTGATGCTTTTTTTTTTTTTTTTGGGTAAATAACATCTAACTTTAAAGCTTTTCATTTATGCCATGGATTTATTATTTGTCAAGAGCATGGATTTATTCATGTTTCAAGAAAAAACCAATGAATAACTCTCCTCTGCTCATATATATTAGATCAACAGATCAAACTACTCTTTGTGCAAAAACATATAGCTGCTGCTCTGTGGATGTAATTTTTATTTTTCTTCATACATCACATAAGATGAGGTGTGGAAATTTCTAGATCCCATGTTAAATAAGAGACAAGATCATATTCCTCAATAATTCGTATTAATGTGCAACTAGACCACTACTTATGCATAAGTTACAAATTCATTTCGAACGGTCTATCGCTCTAAGGTTAAATTTTTTTTTTGATTTATGCTATCTATTTGTGCATGTTTTAGGCGGGAAGTGTGAAGGATAAGATGACGTTATTGTTGTATAAGTTGGGGGAGGCATTTTTGTCCAAGTTAGCAGAGAAGTTGGCGGATATTGCACTGAGCAAAAAAGACGAGGCCACTTTCGAATCTCTGCAAACTAACATGAGGTTACTGCGTGCTAAAGCATCTGATGTCGAAGATGCAATCAAGAGGGATGAGCAATCTGGAAAAAGGAAAAGGAAAAGAGAAGTTGGCGATTGGTTAGAACAAGTTCAATCAATTGACAATGAACTTGGTATATTGGAAAGTCAAATGCGAATGGAAGGCTTTGTGACACAATTCTTTGGTGGAGGTCGAGCTGCAAAACTAGAAGCAAGAATGCGCGAGCTGGTAGAGCAAAGGCAGCATTTTGGCGAGCTTGTAGTTGATGATTATGAGATCAAGGGAGACAAGTTTTGTGTTGGGGAGTTAGTAGGTGAGCAATTCAAGAAAAATTTGGAAACAATTTTGAGTTTCTTGTCGTCTGATGGGGTGTCGAGCATTGGGATTTATGGCATGGGTGGTGTCGGAAAAACAACACTTGCCAAGCATGTAAATAATCGTCTCCAAGAGCAAAGTGGCGAGCATGTTGTATGGATCACGGTCCCTCAAGAGTTTACAATCTCAATGTTGCAAGATGAGATAGCCAAATTGTTAGGCTGTGGTCTCTTAGGTGAGATGAATGAAGATAAAAGAGCATCGCAATTGAATGCAATGCTATCCAAAGTAAACAACCTTGTTATTATATTTGATGACGTTTGGAAGCATATTGATTTGAAAAAGTTAGGAGATCCGCTCTCTATGGAAGGTTGTAAAATAGTGATAACTACTCGCTCGAAAAAAGTGTGTGATCAATTTGATTGCATCAAAATAATGAAGGTAGAGATGTTGCAAGAAAATGAAGCGTGGATGTTATTCAAAGATACACTTGGCCGAAATGTGAATCTAACTTCGGAAGTTCAAGATATCGCCAAGTGTATGGTGAGAGTATGCGATGGTTTGCCGCTAGGTGTTATCACCATTGCAGGAAGCATGAAGGGCGAGACCGAGGTCCATGTATGGAGTGATGCATTGGCGGAATTAAGGGCATCCATCATGGGGCAAGACCACATGGAAGAATGTGTGTTTAAAGTACTCAAATACAGCTTTGACCGATTGGATCGATGCAAAGGAAGAAATAATGGGTATTCAAAGCTACAAAATTGTTTCCTATATTGCTGCTTATATCCCGAAGATTTTGAGATTCTGGAAGAGCATTTGATTCGATATTTTATTCTAGAGGAGTTTATGGACAAAAGAGAGAGCAGGACACAATTGTTTATCCAAGGTCGCGCCATAGTCGACAGATTGGTGAATGTTTGTTTACTAGAAAGAGTAGATTCAAAGAAGGTGAAGATGCATGATTTAGTGAGAGCTATGGCGCTAAAGATTGCGGAAGGCAAGACTGTGGTAATAGCCGGGAACTATTTCTTGAAGGATATTCCGACTGAAGAAGAATGGGGTAATGACATTGAGAAGATGTCTTTGATGCATAATGACATAGGACCAATACCGGATGGATTGTCTCCAAACTGTCCCAAGTTGTCGACTTTACTTTTGGCGCAAAATCATCCCTTGAACTTCATACCCAATTCATTCTTCTTACAAATGCGCAGCCTGTCCATTCTCGATTTGTCCGGGACTATGATCAAGAAGTTACCCGATTCTTTCTCAGAGATGACAAGCCTCAAAGGATTGATCCTTGCAGGCTGTTATCAGCTCGAATATCTGCCTTACCTGGGAAAACTGAAGAACTTAAAGGAGTTGGATCTCTCATTCAGTCGAATACAAGAAGTTCCTCGAGGGATGGAAGAATTATTCAATCTCAAATTTTTGTCGATTAATGGACGACACTTGAAAATGTTACCAAGTTGTCTCGTCTCGAAGTTTACATATCTTCAATGCCTCCACCTTCCATGCCATAATTACGCGCCAATGGAAGAAATACTTGAGCTGAAGAATTTGGAGGAGTTTCGAGGGATATTGAAGGATATTGGTGATTATAATTTGTTGATGAGAAACACGCCGAGTTTAGCTTACTCCATCATTATAGGATCGAAAAAATATACTGACTGTATCGGGGGCTCTTATAATAAGTTGGAGTTCCAGCGCTACTACTTTGATTCAAGTAACTACAAAGACGCGACAATACTGGCCGGAAACATCCAACGGCTACTATTGCATAATTGCAAGGGGTTGAGCAAGTGTTTTGCGGAAGATCTCGTACGGATTTTCAAAAATATCACATCAACACAGAGCTTCTCAATTGAGTATTGTGAAGAAACAGAGTGTCTTTCGAGGATCGAACAATTGGCATCTCCGTCAGCATCCATGTCATCGCCACCTCCACGTGTCTTTTTCTCCTCGTTAAATGAGCTGCATATTTTCAAGTGCCACAAAATGAAGAAGCTCGGGCTACCAGCATCGCATCTCCAGAACCTGAAAATTCTCACAATTGTTGGCTGCAAAATGATAGAAGAGATATTTGAAATGAGCGGCGGAGGAGAATTCAGTCGAGCATCTTTGGTCGGCCTCCCCAAACTGGAGGCTCTAAGTCTTCAAAATCTACCAAAATTGAAGACCATCTTCCATACAACAACAGTCTGCGGTTCGATTAAGCGTATCGCCTTGGGAAATTGCCGAGCTTTGCAGAAGTTTTCTCTGGTTTTCGGACAGCCAAGCGATGATGATGATGACGACGACGATGATATGCCTCCAGGTTTCAAAAAATTTTCCTTAATGGATAATGAGAAGGAATGGTGGGAGAAGTTGGAGTTGGGACATCCCTCACACCATTCTCTGCTACAACCATTCATTGTATGGCTCTGAAGCCATAGCCAGGTGTGATTACATCGACAGACTTAAGGTTTTTAGGAAAGTTCGATCGCTTGAGCTACACTCCCTTCGCCTTGACCAGAATGAAGTTGCG